GAGGGCGTGAACGCCCTTCGGCAGGGGAGGCAGTACGATCCTGTATCCTTGGGAGCCTAACTCAGCAGAAATTCCACGGCTATCAGCGGTCGTTACCGCTCCGACGGAGCTCATCGCGATACGTCTTGATAGCTCGGAAGCCAGGCGACGAATCCCCCTTTACAGCCTTCGTCGGTTCTAGAAATTGTCTCGCCGACGTCGTGCGGCAAAGCCCCTATAAAGAAGACAAGCTAGTAGGGTTGTGCGAATATTCGAAATTTCGAATAGTAGTTCCGAATAATACACTATTCGATATTCGCTTCGAGAAGAACTCCACTATTCGCCTTTTTCGAAGTGTTGATTGCGGTGGGTTAGCCCCGTTGAGTGCGCTTCTTTCCGAGCACCGGTGCACTGCGGAGAAGCAATACCCGCGAAAGCAAGCTTCGCGGGTGTTGCTTCTCCGCATTGTTACGTTTCTCCGGGAGAATCGACGAATCCGGAGACCGACGTTTATTTGGCAGCGTCTATTGTTCGGCAGCCGGAACCAAAAGAGCACAAAGCTTGCCGGCGATGCCGCTTATATCGGCAGCAAGCACCAGAGGTACGCCCCCCTGACTCAGCAGTTCTGCTGCGGCCGCGACAGCGATAAGCGATAACATCGCATCGTAACAGCATTACATCGGTGCTCGGTAAAAAGCGCACTCAACGGAGTAACCCGCCGCAATAAACATTTGGAAAAGTATGAAAATAAGCAGTTGCGTGCTTGGATGAAAACCATACATTCAAGGCGGGATGGTGCACGCGTGCCGGCTATATATGAAAATAAATGGAAACTTTGTGACTGTGTATACTGTAAAACCCTTTATTTTCGGGGCCCCTATTTTTCGCGAATCGGTCACAGGGGACACTAAAGATTGCGATCGCAGCCACTAAAGATTGCGAATTCCAGAGACCTGCATTTAAATTCTTGACGACCGAAATTTTCGCGTGCCTTTAAGTTTCGTGGATTTTTCAATTCGCGATATTCGCGAAAATTAAGGACTCGCGAACATTAAGGATTTTACAGTATCTACATTGTAGTAAAAGTTTTAAAATTAAGCTGACTGTTTTGCAAGAGTATATGTTGGGCAGAGATGCCCTTACAACCTGCGTGCATCATGCAGGAGTCATTCTTTTTTAACTCGAAATTAAATAAAGAATATTTAAGATGTGTAAATTCACTCAATTGCGTATAGTTGGCCATTTCCATTGGATTGATTTTATGTCAAACTTGTTGTTTACTTACCATCCCAAGACATCAGACCTTCTGAGGTCACAGTTCATAAATATAGATAGATTAAACTTGGCTTATAAATGAACAGGTGGAACAACCTTCACAAGTTTCGCTGGGGTTTTGTCTAAGCATTATGTTATGGTAGTGAAAGGCGTGAAAAAACTATTCGATACTCGATTCGAAAATATTCGGCCAAAGCCACTATCGCTTCGAATTCGCTTCGAACTCAAAATCCACTATTCGCACAAGACTACAAGCTCGCTCTATTTCAGTGAAGGTTATTCGTTGTCGTTTTTATTTTTTGAAGATCAGATGTTACTCAATGTTTTGCCATCGCAAGTTAGTTTGTCACTGTAAACGGTTAAGGAGAGTACAAAGGAAATAAAAGCTGGAGTTTCTTTCAGTCTTGACTTTGCACTTTTGCCACATTAATGAGCCGCGTTTCTGCAATAGTGACTACATACTGTTCTGATATATTCGTAAACTGCATTTAAAGAAGATCGTTTTGATATATTTTGGGTTGTTTTATATAGAGTAGTTCATTGGTAAATAATTTGCGACAGGCACGTAGCCAGGATTTTGTTTCGGCGGGGGGGGGGGGGGGGGGGGGGGGGCGCCCATGACAAAATGGTGTATCGGGGGGAGAGGGAAAGGAGGCCCCAGCAAAATGGAAGATTTCGGGGAAGAAGGGGGGCGGGGGCGGCCCCCCCCCCCCCCCCCCCCCCACACACACACACACACACACCCTGACTACGTGTCTGATTTGTGAATGTGTCTTTAAAACGTGTTTATTTGACGTGTTGCGTAAATTCTTGCATTGAAATCTTTTGTTGTAATTTTTTTTTTTATATTCTGTGTACATGTTGTAAATCCTTCATAAAATAGAATACATTACTGCTACGTTCATGCTTCGGTGTAAAATTGACGACTGTGCAAAATAAGACAGTGAAACTTCAACAATCTCTACGCCTCGAGCTTCGAAATTTTTTAACTCCGGAAGAAAATTAGCTACGGCCTTCGCATATACCTGAACGCTCCTCCCAAGAACGTGGCTTTCATGTATTTTTTTTTTTTTCACATAAACATTTAAAAAGAATAGAAAATCAAAACATTTTTTTTTTTTCTTTTTAAGCAGTCTGGTTGGGACACACGTGTCAAAAAAATAAATTTTACGCGAAAAAAAAATTAGAGCAATATTGACGGCGTTTCACGCAATTGAGTCGGGAGTACCTCATTTTTACTTGTTTTGTCTCTCGGCATTTCGGGCGCGTGGAGGAGAAGCTGTGGCACTAAGAAGCTTTGGCCATCAGGTTGAGGTGCAGGGAGGGTATGAACATCTCGTTGAGGTGGAAAGAGTGTATGACAATTCCGTGACGTCATGGACTTTGCGCGCATAATTTAGGCGCAACTAAATATATCTCGCGCAGTCAATATTGCTCTGAAATTTTTTTTCGGCCAAAATTTATGTGGGTAAAATTTTCCCACTAAATTCGGTTGGAAAATTTTTCGCTAAATTCTTGTCTAGCTCGCTTGCACCTTTGCATTTAATTGCATTATAATAATAACCTTAAATTGCAAGCTTCACCCTTGTTGGTGTTAGACTGGTGGCAGCTGATAAAACCCGTTTGCTCTACCGACGTCTAACCCCTGGTTAGCTCAGTTGGTAGAGCGCTCCACCTGTAATGGAGAGGTCCCGGGTTCGATACCCAGACCAGGCGGATTTTTTCGGCCGCGCACCAGTCATGTAGCTGTGTTTGGAGATTTGCGTTTGTCCTTTGTCCTCTCTTGCTCCCCCTCTCCAGGGATTATTTCCCAGCTCGCTTGCACATTTGCATGTAATTGCATTATAATAATAACCTTAAATTGCAAGCTTCACCCTTGTTGGTGTTAGACTGGTGGCAGCTGATAAAACCCGTTTGCTCTACCGACGTCTAACCCCTGGTTAGCTCAGTTGGTAGAGCGCTCCACCTGTAATGGAGAGGTCCCGGGTTCGATACCCAGACCAGGCGGATTTTTTCGGCCGCGCACCAGTCATGTAGCTGTGTTTGGAGATTTGCGTTTGTCCTTTGTCCTCTCTTGCTCCCCCTCTCCAGGGATTATTTCCCAGCTCGCTTGCACATTTGCATGTAATTGCATTATAATAATAACCTTAAATTGCAAGCTTCACCCTTGTTGGTGTTAGACTGGTGGCAGCTGATAAAACCCGTTTGCTCTAACGACGTCTAACCCCTGGTTAGCTCAGTTGGTAGAGCGCTCCACCTGTAATGGAGAGGTCCCGGGTTCGATACCCAGACCAGGCGGATTTTTTCGGCCGCGCACCAGTCATGTAGCTGTGTTTGGAGATTTGCGTTTGTCCTTTGTCCTCTCTTGCTCCCCCTCTCCAGGGATTATTTCCCAGCTCGCTTGCACATTTGCATGTAATTGCATTATAATAATAACCTTAAATTGCAAGCTTCACCCTTGTTGGTGTTAGACTGGTGGCAGCTGATAAAACCCGTTTGCTCTACCGACGTCTAACCCCTGGTTAGCTCAGTTGGTAGAGCGCTTCACCTGTAATGGAGAGGTCCCGGGTTCGATACCCAGACCAGGCGGATTTTTTCGGCCGCGCACCAGTCATGTAGCTGTGTTTGGAGATTTGCGTTTGTCCTTTGTCCTCTCTTGCTCCCCCTCTCCAGGGATTATTTCCCAGCTCGCTTGCACCTTTGCATTTAATTGCATTATAATTATAACCTGGAACTGTACAGTCAAGTACATCACCGCGCAGGCGCAGTAGCGGCTTCTTCGTTGCGAAGGGCTTAGTGGAGGAGGAAACGCGGGCTACGGAAACTCCCTACTAATGCGATAGCGTTTAGGAGCTCGTGGCGCATAAAATCCGGCGTCGTCGTGGGCGGTACCAAAAATAATTACATAAGGCAACGCGCGCAGTCACGTGTCACGTGTACATTCCACTACAGAATTTCTCTCGTTGAGGCGGCGTTGTTTGTCCATCCTTCTGATGGCAGCTGTGGAATCCCAGCACAATGGCGGACTAAATCCTCAATGTCATGGCACGCTGAAAAAGGCACACCCCCGGAAAAGGTGATGAACGCAGTGACGTTGCACTTTCGAGTCTCCACGCTGTTCGATTGGATCGCCGACTCGTCCGCGCTCCGATATTCGCTGTCTTATGGAATAACTTGCACGTTTCTCGATGCAGATGTTCCGCCATAGTGCAGCGGTTCCGACCTCCTAACAATCGGCACGCAATTTTTGAAAAGGGTCTATTCCTACCTATGTGCACCTATGCATCTCCCCTCTCATGTCCTCTTGAAGCTCGCAGCATATCGGCTATTGTCTTCTTTAAACACACGGACTATTCTTTAAAGTGAAGCTTGCCTCAGTTGCCTGAGAGACGTATATCACCGCGCCCGTCTTGAAACGACGAAGCAGACGACCAAATTGACAAAACCGTTGCGTTGATACCAGTGGCAGTGGTTTGTAAACGAGTAAAGCTTTTTCCAGAAAACGGTCGCGTTTAAAACGTTCGAAAAAAAAAAAAAAGAAAAGAAAAACGAAGCATTGAGATTTTTTAAGAGGGAAAAAGCGAACTCCGCTCGAAACCGAAAGAAAGCAAAAGAAAGAAGCGCTGAGAAAGAGACAAGGACGAAGAGATGAACGACAGACGCTCCTCCGTAGCCCAGGCAACGTTCGAGCATGCGCAGAATGGATTGGAGTGGAGCCACGTGACCGGGTCACGTGCCGTAAACATTTTCCCATTTTTCACTCGTGCGGGTTTCCCGGTTTGACTTGTGACAGGTTCTTTGAACTACGAATTCAGTCAAAACGATGGCCCGAACACTCTTGCTACCCTCCCACACTTACGGAGTCCAGAGTTAAATTTATTATTGACGAATTGTCATAGCGTTTACGTACTTTGCTTCCGCGTGCAGTCGGAAAACATGACAACCGCCCGATTGAAGCTGGTCATAAAGGTAAGCTCATCTATAAATTTTTGCGTTCGCGTTATTGTTTTGCACATACCCCTACAGTGTTCAGGCATTCTCGTCAAGGTATGCACACTCGTCGTCTACATTGTTTGCAAGTCGCCTCTTGTGTTACTTCCCGGGCTCGATGTGCAGCGAAGCAAGGTACCGCCCCCAAGATTTACCTCTGCGAAAAGATTGTTGTTTGGTGTTATTTCTACCCAAATATCTCGCCCGCAGGTGCGTCAAATAATTCAGAATAATTGCCGTCTGAGCATCTGGTTTGTACCGGAGGTCCTGTGCCGATGCAAAATGACGCTCAATTTTACCACGTTTATCTGCACTGCAGCGAATAACCACTTCTGACATACCGCGTCGTGCAACTCTTGCCGGCACTTTTCGAGTACTTTTAACTTGATTCACTTACAATTAGAATGCGAGTTGAGTGACGCTTTTCTGCAGATATATATATTTACATCTTCAATTATCTGACATCTGTAATATCCGTCGCCTTATGTGACATAAACACGAACGTAATGCGTTCAAGACACGAAATGTATTGCGAGCAGTGCCTCAAATTGGGACGGGACCAGACCATTATCTGTCCAAGAAAACGACGTTGAGTCGACAGTCGCGAAAATCCAGCTATCGTAATGTAACCTAATTGCGTTTTCTGAGTGAGTGTGTATTTAATGGTAATCGGTTTTCAAGAGTAACATACCCAGCTCTTGATGACGCCAGTCAGCGTGGAGTTACGACAAGGGCATCACATAACATCTGCACATCTGTTATCCATCCACACCAACCAACACAACATACTGACATCTTTTGTTTACCAGCCACGAAGTCATCATCTAGCTTGTCTTTGTAGTGAGAAAAGATCTAGAGAGCAAATATTGTCAATGTTTTTAAAGTGATAGCTTTATGTGGGAGCCCTTCAAGGACCTCCCTTGCTCACATTGGTCTGACTGTAGCAAGCAAGACCATGGGATAGAGCAGTGCGTGTGATCACGGATGCCCCCTCTTTGCCCCCCACCCTCCCGGCACACAAAAATTGGAACTGTGCGTTAGTACAATAATCTGGTAGGTGCGAAGACATTTCCCATTCAGATAGCGTATGCGGCGGTGTTCCAAAGAAATTGTCGCAATAACCCTGGATGCAGAAGAAGAGAACCCCTTTCGTACATTCACAGTCCCTTTGCCATGCACGTGAATTTCATTAGGGGTTGTGCAAGAATGCTGTTTTGAATCTAGTAGCACTGTGCAATTCGTAACTAGGGTTTTGTGTTTTCGGGGTTTATTTTTCGGGGAACTCGGGTGTGTTTTTTTTTCGAGGTTATTGGTTTTGGCCTAATCTGGGTTTCTCGTGGGGTTTTTGGAGAAGAAAATAGGGCATGGACATGGAATTCCCTAACCCTCAGATGACATATGCACGCCCTGGACACTTGTAAATCATCCTCATACCTATAATAGAAGGAAACGAGATCAGGTGTGGTGTTCCCGAAGAAAGAAGCAGCCTCGCGGACTGTTCAGTAGGGGCTGCATTCCGGGTCAAAAAAAAGATAAAGGTGTATATAGAAGTTTTCATTTTACAAAGCCTGAGTCTAATTCGAGGGCAGCTCAGATTCGAGGGATGTTCGGCTTTCCTTGATTTCAACAGAACATCTTAGGGGTTTAAAATTTTGTTGTTCGTTGCAAAAACACTGAACCTTATCCATATCTTTTGCGGTGGAAGGGAAAGCCACAAGAACTGACTTTCTGAACAGCTTCAAAACTGCGGATGACACTGCGCCATTTGATTCAAACCGGCATTCACACCCCTCTACGTAGCATGTAATTCCCACGGCAAGTGCCGTCGGAATCACACCTTCGTTACTCTTGATGAGACCTCTGAGCCAGACTATACTTTTCGTTTAACCCTCCAGGGAAGCGTGGCAGTGTGCCTCACGGCTGCCCTCGCGCACTACTGGGGCCACCTGGACAGCGTTGGCGTCGCCCTCATGTACGGCGGCATGGTGTCCCTGGGTGTGCTTCTTGGGTGCCGCAGCGTGCTCTGCTCAGACGAGAGGTTTCCGGTCGTCCTCAAGGCGCACAAGGGGAGGAAGCTGCTCGAGCAACTGTTCCAGGCAAGTCGGCCAGGAACAGACTACAGTCTAGCTCCTGTCGTTACTTGGAATGAGTCTCCGACGAGTGTGCGTATTGTCCCATGTGGAGCGCAAGATCGTCTGCTTATTGTGCGGGGGTTGCAATAATGTCAGAACGCCAAACTCTTATTGGCCGATTTAAAAAAAAAAAAATCGGGTAGACCTTGAGGCTCTTAGCATTATGGACTACCCACTATCCTTTCAGTCAAAGCCAGTCGGAGCCCGGCGTCGTTTTGACGTCGCCGCAGCTCTTGCACAAGAAGCAGACTACTTGCTTTCTGCATTCCGCCCATGTGTCGAAAGCGTTCCCAAAAGGGCAACTGACGACCTCACGGAAGCTGGAGTGTCATTTTGTTGGATGTCGCTATCCCAACGGTTTGGCAGAGAAGAAGAAAAAAAATTACGAGCGAACGCCAGTGTCTCTTTCGCTGCGGCATCCCAACTCCCGACTGTGACGCCGCCGGGACCGTGGCCGTCAACGCCGCAAAACTTTTTTCACATCGTCAGGTAGAAATTGAGGGACCGCTTTTGAGGACGCAGTAATCGTGCTAGTCAAAAACGCGTTGCAGGCACATCTTTGGGCTGGGAACATATCGTGTGACTACGCTCTACGCGCATTTTCACACCCATCCCGAAAGTCATTTGACACTGACACGGCAGTAAATTGGCTGGATGGCTCATAGTGACCTCTGTGGTTCATCGTAAGATGAAACGAAGTGTAGAGGTGCGCACGATGCCCACTTTCCTAAATACCCGTACAGCAACACTAATTACTGGGTTTGGGTCCGGCTCAAGACCGGCGAGTAATTCGGACAACTCGGAGACGTTCGAAGTGGCAGCAGGCAACCGGTGACGCAATATTTTCATGTGACCTCCCCTATGGTTGTGGTGATAGTGATGTCTCGTTAATATGGACACCTCCGTTCCCCCCAAAAATCGTCCATAACATGAGTTGCCCATAATAACGAAACAAAAATGCACATATTTTCCCAGTTTGTCCCCGAAAATGGTGTCCATATAGCGGGAAGTCCATAATAACGGGGTCCATATAAATGAGACATGACTGTAATAACTGAACATGAGATTTCCCTTATTCTAATTTTAAATTGGTAATTTCTGCAACTAAATATTTTTAGGGAGATCAGATAGTATTTTCAATGCCATTTAAGGACATAAAAGCACATTATTAACATGCAACCTCGTGTCTAAATAGTACAAGAAAGTTAAAATTTTAGTGACGATAACAGTATGTATCCATTCGAGCTTCTCAAGTTGCTGCGTGTGAACGCAAGAGGACTCTGTTGCTGAAGTTATGGTGTCAAAATGCTGGGAAAAATTGCCCTGTATGAAGCAGTTGCCACGGTCATATTGCAACCCAATTGTGCGAACCAGCCTCCTTTGCTGGACACAGGAGAAGCTGAAAGAACACAGCCGGTTGGACAGCGCCGAGAAGACGAGGCACGTCGTCTTCTCGCGGGACGTGGATGCCAGGCTGAACGAGATCCTGGACCTGTGCATCAGGGACTTTGTCCTTCCCTGGTACCGGCAGCTGGTCCCGGACCACCAGTGCTTCTGCATGCTACTTAGGTGAGGAGACGGTGCCAGTTGCAGGAAGAAGTGTGCGACGCCGACCAGGTGGCTCTTTTAATGCCTCGGGATGCACGGTCACGTGCGTCGCTCTGCTTTAATGCACTCTGTTGACGTGGTCTGTAGCCCCTGACAGGCTGAGATGGGCAGAAAGGAGTTTAAGTTTGTCCGCCTCTAGGAGCATCCTTCCTTCAATACCACTTCTGCGTCGCGTGAGCCTTGAGCGTGCATGTGCAGCCGAAGCACGACTAAAGGGAAAGCACAGCTAAAGGCAAAGCACCACTAAAGCTAAAGCACGCTAAAAGCAAAGCCTGACTCAAGGCAAAGCACGGCTAAAGGCAATGCTCACGTGCTGGGGGCTGGGCATTCAGAAAGAGCATCCTGTCATCCTGATCCCGTCGGTGATTGCAGTAGTAAATGTGAGCGTTGCTTTTAGCAGGAGGAACACGAAAGTTGTGCACTCCAGATTTACTGCGTACCTCATGGAGCACTTTAGAAGGGCACTGAAGTCAGTGGCGTACCAACTTGTTTTTGAGTGAGGGGGCAAACCAGACCCTCTCCCCCCCCATGGGCCGGGGGGCGGTGCCCTTGGTATTCCTTGGGCGCCGCCGGCCAGTGTTTGCCCTGCCCAGTGGCGGCCTTGCCCCCCCCACCCCCCCCCCCGGTTGGTGCGCCCATGACTCAAGTGGTTTTTGAGATTGTCAGTTTATGGTGCAAACTCAACCTACATGACCTCCCAGGAAGGCAGAAATCATGTATTCTTGCGTGCCCTTTTTTTTTTATTATTAAAAGCACGACCAAACATCGCAACGCACACCTTTACCTGAAATTAATCTGGGCAAAAAGGGATGTGTTGCAATAGGTCACGTTTTTAAAAGGAAAAACGCCTGTGCATGATTTTGGAGCATATTTGCTTTTTCTGTAGATGCTGTGCAATTAGGATGCACATTTCTACAATTGTGACTTGACATCTATTTTTTTTTTTATTTATTAGTTATGATATGTTTGCTTGTTCTCTGAACTTGTGCAAGAATTGCTCTATTTCCCTTCCTGCTCTTCTTGCTTGGACCATTCATTTGGTCTGTAGTATGCAATAAATAAATAAAAAATAAAGTAATTTTTTGGTTATAGGTACTTAGGTCATGTGAATTTGGTTTGCAGCATTAAAAGGTGATCTCAAAATCTACCTTATTGCCTGGGCAACTCCTTTTCATTTTTGTTTTTGACAAAAACAATGCAATCCTTTTTAGTATTTTTTAGAGGTTAAAAGCGCTAAAAAAAACAGACAAGTGAAAGAGACTAACACCACAGAGCACTACTTGCAACTGAAGTTTACTCATAGAAAAACAAATATACCGTGAAATCGACATGTGATGAAAGGACTGCAACATCACACCAATGCTTATGAATCCACCATTTACTTTTCGAAAGATTTTAAAAATGCCACTTGAGAGTCAAACACGGATATCGATGGAGCGCTGACACACGTGCCTTCAACGCACTTCGTTATGAAAAACGCTTCGGATATCTCCCTTGTAGTCTTGTTTCAGTTTCTGCCTAAGATAATGGTGTTGTCAAACTTCGGGACACACCCACATCTGTTACAGTGTACTGCCAGATTTCCCCAAGGGTGACGATCTTACTGACAGTGCATGTTCCCTGAGCTTGTTATTTATACAATGACCCGATTGGCCTATGTGCGCTCTACCACATGATAAATAAGTCTTGTATACCACGCCTTTGCCGCACTCCACATACCTGGTCTTATGTTTCTTCTGACATACTCCGACCCTCATCCTACTTTTTCACATAGTCTGCCTGATTTCACACTACAGACTGCCCACATTCACACTATAGACTTACGCCGCAGTTGTGCAGACGTCGTCGAATGTTGTAGACACCAAAATGTGGTAAAGAGGGGTGCAGACGACACTTGCACCTGGCTCACGCCACACCAACCCAGCCCTTCGTTACGTGGAGAATCGCGCAACATCTCGTACCTCGTGATAGCCATGTTCTTGGCGGCCCAAAGCCAATGTTGCCGAACGGAGCCAAATTTTCAGTTTTAATTTCTGCTCCTGTTCAAAATAAATTAAAAAATGTATATAATATTTTGCAAAGCAAATGACGTGATGTCTTTTACTACTTAATGCGAAATCATCCTGAAATCTTTGGAATTGAGCAGAGTTCAGGGAGACACATATGTCCTTTGTATTTTGTGTTGTATGTTTTTAAATAAAATTGTTCCAGTTTTATTAGAAAAAAGTATGTTTGGGTCACTTTATACACCTCTGTGCGTCGTATTTCTGTTTTAGTGTACTAAAGCAGACCCAGTCACTTGCTGGTCAAATTGCTTGGCGTGCGCCGAAGGAAATGCAGGCGCGCCTCGTTTTCCTACCACATTGCTGCACCCAGGAGCGAGATGTGGCGCGTGCTGCGCAACATCAAGGAGCGCTGCCACAAGATGGACGACGTGAAACTTCTCACGGACCACGTGGTGCGAAGACTGCAGAGCCATCTCCGTGCGGCGCGTCTTGCCAGTGGCAGGTGAGGTGTGCCTCGGTTCCACTTGTGCCGACATCATGCGATCACTAGGACCACTGAAGAAGCTACACCTTAGAGTAGTGTCACTGGGGGTGGGGGGGTGGGGGAACCCAGTCAAATGGATGGATGTTAATGGCTACACCCTTTGTAACAAGCGGAAGTTTGCGCCACCTAGCCTAAGTCTAGAAAGACAAACATACGATTCCTCTCGCCCTTCTAAGCCAATTTTTTCCCCCAACTATCACCAGGCAGTGTGGGATATCACCAGGATGACCTTTGGGGGATCGGGCATAAAACTAATAAAACATCACCTGCCACTTTTCTCCCTGGCAAGGGAGTTGCCAATTTTCCTCTGGTCAAACCTTGTCAAAGTTACCCCAGCACCGGACCCACTGGGGGACAGGGTTGAGAACTTTGGACCAGAGCCACGTGGGAGGGAGTCACAATTTTCCTCTGTCCCGCCTGTCCCCAGCTGCACTAGCTAGTTGTGCATCATTCAATTTTCCCTAAATAATTTCCACCAATCTCCTAACCACATGTTTGTGACAAATTATTTTCTCTTCCGTCCTTCCATCGTCGCCAGTGAAACTCAGGGCCCTGACCAAATCTGCTACCCCTTTCGAGAGGGCAGGGCGAAGCCCCGTGCCTTCGAAACCAAGTGCTCTAGTGTCTCACTCTCATTATTGCAGGCAGCACATAATGTCTCTGTTTCCTGAAACTTAGCCCTATATGTCCTTGTCCTCAAAATTCCCGTTCTCGCCTCAAACAGTAAATAACTTCCCAGTAAATTGTTAAACACATTTTCCTTTCTTATGTCCTGTTTTTGTGACCTGTACATTGTTAGAGCTGATTTTTCCTGCATTCTTACCTCCCAGCTTTTTCTTTCTGCCTCTTTCACTCCCTTTTCCACTGAAGTAGTCTGCTCAGCCCCGTCACTAGTGTGTAGGTATTCAAATGTAAGCTTTTGGGTTTGGTGTGTCCATTTCACGTTTTAACTTTTCATGTATCAATGTTCCCCTGTACTCTCTCATTCGGTGTCTTTCCATGTGCTCCCAGTGCCAATCTGCCTACGCTTCTTTGTCGAATTTCTAATCCTGATTGAACCTCTGATTTCGTGCACGGTACTGCATTGCCAAAAGACAGTCCTGATACCATCCCTCCTTTCCATATATCCCTGACCTCTTTGTATCTATTATAGTTGCATAGTGCTTTGAGCTTCATAATAAATTAATTTTTTTTTCCTTTTCTAAATATATTCTCCTCATGTTCCTCTAGATATTTCCTTCCCCGATTGAACCAGACTCCCAGATATTTGTATTTTCCTACACTATTACAATGTTTTGTATCCTCAGGGATTCCCTCTTTTTGTCGTTAAACACAATTACTCCATACTTGTCACTACTAAACCTCATACCCAAGGTGTCCTCTTCCTCCACATATTCCGGCTAGTTCCTGTAACATACCCTGGTTAGCTGCCATAAGCACTATGCCATCCACATATATCAGTCCTGGTACTACCTGTATTACATTGCTTCCTCCTTTCATATAACTCGCATCGAAACCTAAGTTTCTGTGCTCTAATTTCTTTTTCATTTCTCTGAGATCTATCATGAAGAGCAGAGGTGACAATGGACCACCCTGCCTAAACCCTCTTTTTATTGCTGCGGGTTGTTTAGATTCTGCTTCCCATGTTATAACCACATTATTGTCTGTGTACATCTATTGAAGGAACCTACCCAATTTGGCATCTAAGTTACATTCGTTCAGTTGACACCAAAGGTTGTCCTGGCTCACATATTGTATGCTCCCTTGATGTGCAAAAAAGCTAACCATGAACGAGTTTGGTTCTTCATTGCTATTTCTATACATTGTGTGGCAATGAATAAGTTATCTTCCAGTCATCTATGCCTTCAAAATCCGTTTTGGAGCTCAGCCAGTACCGTATTTTCCGGTGTATAAGACACACTTTTTTTCCACAATTTTCGGCGGTGCATCTTATACACAGGTGCATCTTATATACTAATTTTTACTTAGAAACTTGCGAAAAGTGGGTGGTGCTTCTTATACACAGGTGTGTCTTATGCACCGGAAAATATGGTATTTGCATATTTTCTGCCCATTCCTTCTTTCACCGCTTTACTATCTGCTTATAGGTAATCTGTATAGAGCTGAGGTTACCGTTATAGGTGACCTCAGTTTTTAATGTTATCTTTGTTTCCTCTGCCTTTATATATTAGTATCATTTTACTTAGTTTCCAATCGTTGAGTACCTCTTCTGGTGTCTTAATGAGTTCCATGGGTATGTCGTCTGGGCCTGTCACTCTACCTGCTGGGACCTTACTTTCTGCCTTATCCCATTCTCTTGTGGTCGTCTCCATTGTTACCCCAATTCTGCTCCTTCTCTACACTGCTGCTGTCAGTGCTATCCACTGTCCCCCTCTGCTCAAGCTGGAAGAAAGCCTCTTCGATCGTCCGCCTAATATATTCCCGTGCCTCTTCCCCTCTCTGCTCTTCTCCCAAATCTGGTATTAACAGACTAGATGCTCTTTAAATCTTTTCTGATTAAGAAACAACACTACCTTAAAATTGTCTTGTTGCGTAAGATCAGTGTTGCCAGCTCCTGCTGTTGTTCGAAGACTTAGACTAACAGCAGAAAGTACCAGAACTCCCCAAGATTGGAACTAGGCCCGTTTGAATTGCGTTCAGCGACCAGATTAAGGCGAGGACTCTTGAAACATTGTGCATTGGAGCTCAATATTATTTAAGCGCAACATAAAAATGGCAATACCACCCTGGCCATTGCAGGGGCAGACGATTGTTTCACTTCTTTGGTTAGTCAGTGCCTGTGAAGTTCTGTGTTACAAATAGGGAACATTTATAAGCAGCTTTAGTGTAAACTATAGTTGTGAAAGGGAATGAATGAATGACTGCCACGATGTCATTAGACAACAGATCTGTCATTCCTCGTGGCGCCAAAAGCGATTCTGGGAATTGTCTGTAGCAGACGACAGAAACAATGCAGAGAAGTGGGCAAGGGCAGGCATGCCAGTGCACTAACCCCTCTCTTTCTTTTCAAGCGTAAAATATAGTTGTGAAAGGGAATGAATGAATGACTGCCACGATGGCATTAGACAACAGATCTGTCATTCCTCGTGGCGCCAAAAGCGATTCTGGGAATTGTCTGTAGCAGACGACAGAAACAATGCAGAGAAGTGGGCAAGGGCAGGCATGCCAGTGTACTAACCCCTCTCTTTCTTTTCAAGCGTTAAATATAGTTGTGAAAGGGAATGAATGAATGACTGCCACGATGGCATTAGACAACAGATCTGTCATTCCTCGTGGCGCCAAAAGCGATTCTGGGAATTGTCTGTAGCAGACGACAGAAACAATGCAGAGAAGTGGGCAAGGGCAGGCATGCCAGTGCACTAACCCCTCTCTTTCTTTTCAAGCAAGGAGCACGGAGGATTGTGCAAAATGTTCCCACAATTAGCTTCACTTGCAGCCCCTTAAAAGTTTTGCAAATGTTCTAGTGGGGCGAAGGGTGTTAATACCAGGGTGTAAGATAGACAGGTGGGGAAACGGCCCATAGAAGCCTACCGCAGCGCCGTGACCGGATTGTGTACTCGTCTGCTTCCGGGTACCCCCGATTTCCGACAGATGGCGCTGTGGCAAGAGGAAAAAAATCGGAATCGGATTTGCGCGGAACTTTATGGGAGAGTGCGGAAAATAAAACGAGAACACGAAAGTCCTCCATTGAAAATCCACGAGAAACCATCTCCGTCAGTTTAGTCGGTCGCCATCGGTCGCCCACCCGGAGTGAGAGTTCGCGGTGCTCCACATAGATGGCGCCACAGAAAAAGAGAAAACCGAGGGGGACACAATGCGGTCACTCATTCGGCTCTCGTTTCCCCACCTGTATATCTTACACCCTGGTTAATACTCTGTGCGTACCTTTGCTGTGCCTCCTCAATTCTGCTGAACGAAAGCAAACCTGATATTAACAGACAAGTTGCTCATTAAATCTCTTCCAATTAAAAAAAAAACAGTACCTTTAATTTTTTTTTTTTTCTTTTTAAGTTACATTTTAACACATAGTTTTATCAGCTTTCAAATATCCTGATGGATGCTGTCAGAAAGTTGCACTCCCGTTACTACAGTATTTGTTTTCAGAATTAATTCTTTCGGGTGTACAGGCACCATCTAATAAAGTTCAGCTTTCTGAACTTTCGAACGAGTTTATCTCAGTTTCACTTTTGGCATCAAATCTTCGTTCAGGAAAACTGTAATTTGACAATTAATTGGCGTGTGGAGCCAAGTTTTGAAGTTTCTGTGCTGAAATTTTGTAAGAAACAGTTGAGCTTTTTTTTGTGCATTTTCATGGTCTTTTATTATGAGAACCTACGGTATCCTCAACCTAATGCGTGCAAAAGAATTGGAACATTTTTCTCAAATTTTTATTTTTTATTAAAAATCTGTAATTTCTGTACTTTTTTCCCCATAGCCACGTGACATGGATGTTATACTGCTTGCTTCACCGATAGAACAGGCCATTATCATTTCCTTTTCTAAACGATAGTTTTCCTACGTGGGGGCGGGCACATTCTTTATTTTATGTACTTTCACTTAACTCTTTGAAGGATAAACTTGATAAAAACTTAACATGTCGTCCTCTTTCCCAGCTATGATTATGCCCTGAAAATGTCACATAAATAAGGCAAAAAAGTTTGCCTTCCTGAGTAGTGTCCTCCCTCTAAGCATCGTTGTCGAAACCCTTTCTTGCTCGTTCCGTCCCAGGAGCGGCGAGAAGCGCCCGTTCCCTCTGAGTCCATTCCTGGAAACCCCTGAAAAGGAGCTGGACCACCTCCGCCAAGTGTCCGACTTCCTGCTGGCGTTGCTCTTGCCGTCGGAGTACGCGCTCTGCATCTCAGTCAGACATCTTCTACGCGAGATACTGGCCTGTTTAGGTGGGCAGCTTTGGTGCAACTCCACAACTAATAAAATGCTAATCACACATTTGCATTTGAGTGTGATTGACCGCGTTGCAACTGCTTGTGTGACCGCCTACGACGAAAGGACACTCTGGCACCATCTATTGGGCAGCTTTGGAAACACTTCGATCTGTACATAACTAGACTGAAGGTTTTTGCAGTGTTTCCGCGATTAAATTGATGCACTGCTTATGAGAATTGGTTCCTACAACATTGTCAAAATTATTTCAAGCCCTTGGTGAGAAAATAGTGTGTAGAATGCCGGAAGTGTACTGAAATCAAAAGTGTTCCAGAGCTATCTGATAGATGGCACCAGTGTGCTCTCTCGTCGTAAGCAGTCGCAAGCAGTTGCAGGGTACTCGGTCGCGGTCAAGTGCAAATGCGTGGTCATGTGCAAATAGTGGATTTTGGCTGAATATTTTCGAATCAAATATTGAATAGTTTTTTCATGCTTTCCACTATTATACCATGCTTAAAGAAAAACCGAGCTGAACTCTTGAAGGTTGTTCACAAGCTTCCGCTTGTCCATTTCTGAACTCGGTTAATCTTGGGTACTATACTCACAAACTGTGGCGTGTAAACGACAAATTTGTTGCAGCTATCCCAATCAAGAGGATTTCTAAATCTGCTTGCTATATGCAAATGTTCTTTCCTCAATTTCAGATATGACACAAAAAAAAGGTGCCTTTTTAGCCCACAATGGGTGTGAAGAACGGAGTGCGGCCTTAGCACGGCTGCACCATCAGGAAGAGTGCGGCAGTGATGACTGAAGCGAAGGGGCAGGTCTTCCCTGTGTCGTCGAGTGGTTTAGAGAAGGGTTAATGTTGACATTTGGCAATGAACGGACAGGGGGACGCAAGCATACAAACGAGGCGAAGCTCTGCGAGGAAGGCAGGTGCAATGCAACTGGTTTTGGAAGAACATATTTCAGGTTTCAAATTGGGTTGTCCAAATCGTCCGCCTGTCTTCCATTTCACTATCACGGCACGCCAGCCGCTATACCTCATTTCACCTTACGATGAACTCCGGTGGTCTCTACGAGCCATCCAAGAGAACGAGCGCTGTGAACGTACTCGTCGCGTGACTACATGCCCGTGTCTCGCTGCGCCCCTTCTGAAGGTCACGCGACACCTGCACGGCATTGGGACGGGCAGTGGTGGCTCGTAGCAGCTGCTGTTATTCACCCTAAGGCGAAACGGGGTACATGACTTACGACCCGGCACAGACCACACAATCGGGCATGTTGGTCCCGGGTGCTAGAAGAGGAAATAAGAGTGTGCAACATGCCACCTCGCCTCTTTGGCATGCAGTGCAATTGTTGAATGGTGACCACAGACTTCTTTGCAAGAGAGCAAAACAAGCAGTGGCAAAAAAGCAGAATTGTGCAAACACTTTTGAACAATCCAATTTTAGTTATAGTATATATGTTTTTATAAAAGTAGCATAATTCGTAAAAGTAATTTGTTACATGAATTTTGAAAATACATTACAAATTACTGCCGTGAAAATGTAATGGGACAATTAAAAAATTACTTGAAAAAGTAATGAATTACAGTTAATCCGTTACTTGTGACGGATTTTTTTCTAAGTCTGCATGTATTCCCGCACAGGGATGGGCAGTATTTCAATTACAAGTATTTGAAATACATATTTCAAATACTTTGTGTATTTTGCATTTGTATTTAATTACAAATTGGGTAATGTATTTGACATGTGTATTTAAATACTAAAACGTGGGTATTTCAAATACAGTTGTAATTAAATACAATTTTGTGGGCGAAAATACATCTTTTAAATTTATTGTCGCTGTCCAGAGCAGGAAGAAAACTACGTTCTGCACCGTGTGCAGTGTATCTCAATAAAGCACAAGCGTTTAGTGACTTTATGACTACGGTGCTAGTCCAGGGCAAGAATAGTGACGAAATCGACGTTCACAGGCAGACTGGCTAAATAAGTGCCTGTGACAACTTGTGATGCTTTCCAGCCTGATTTCCATCCCTATTTTTGCCTGGAACATTCTAAATGCGCGGGTCGTCCAGATTTTCGTAACTGGTGCGAGTTGCAACAATAAAAAATTCTCTAGCTAGTGCTGCGCGTCTTGGTCGTCTCATTTCTTTGTTGGTCTATACCAAAATGTAATCAACCAAAAAAGCTGCGTGAAGCTCTGTACTTTTTTCACCTTTACGTCCAAGCTGATTACATTTTTTGTGTGATTATATTTCTATTACGTTACTAGAGCCTCGCACACTAACTCCCGAGTGTGCGATGCGAAATTAAATTGAGATACACAGAAACCTGTTGCAGGTGCCCTGAAGTCGCTGACGCAAATTTTGAGGAATGTATTTGGAAAAGTATTTGGAGGGGACCAAATACATTTGGTTGTATTTGTATCTTGTGCTTAAATGCTTTTTTGGAAATGTAATTAGATTCGTAATTCAATACATTTTTGATGAAGTATTTTGTATTTATATTTCGATACATATTTGCATGTATTTTGCCTATCCCTGCTCCCGCACAATCGCTGCCGGTTAGCCCCGTTGAGTGCTCTTCTCACCAAGCACCTCTGCACTGCGGGGAAGCAATTCCCGCGGAGCCCTCAATCTTGGCGGCTGTTGCTTTCCTGCGGTGCACGGGTGTCTGGTGAGAAGCACACTCAAAGGTGCTCGCCCGGCGCAATGAACACTTAAAAAATTACGAATATTGCATCGAACCGAATATCGAATAGCATAATATTCGAAACTGCTACTATTAGAATATTCTCACAACCCTACAAATGCATGAACCAGCATTTCTCCTCTTGCAGTGTTGCAGCCGACGGTGGAGATGGTGGCAGACCCGGACTACCTGAACCAGAAGCTGGTGTCGTACCTGCAGTGGCTGCAGGTGGAGAACGAGAAGCACAGCCGCACCTACGCCTACGCCGAGACCTGGGAGGATTTCATCTTCGTCATCGAGACCTGTACAGACGTCCAGGACCTCAAGCGCATGCGGTGAGCCCCTTTTCGAAACTTTTTCGCTTCTCGGCAGTCTCTTCTTGTGGTCTGCTGTAACCTTCTCTTAATTCAGTAATGCGAGCGTATATATCTTTCTAAAGATGAACTTGCACTAGAAGCACGAGTTCAAAACTAGGTTATTTTCCCCTGTACAGGTGTGCGGCCAAGTCTAACTCTGCTGAGGCCAGGGATCATTGCAATGAAATGTAGAGAGGTAGCGATGCCAGTTTATCTGCCTACCGGAATATCCTGAGATTCCCCATTCCCGAAAGATAGCCCACCGCTATTTTTAGCAAAATATGCTTCTTTTTTTTTTTCCAGAAGTACTGAAGCTAGCTTACTTTTAGTCATTGTAGGGCCCTGGCTAACGGTGACCTCGGCAAAAACAGTGTTACTTAAACACGGCGGGAGATAACCGAACATTGCCGACTGAGAAGGACTGCATTTTTTCAACCTTTTTTCATGGCCCATCAAAAGTGAACCCACTTTATGTTTTAAGGGGTGATGTGGGGCTTTAGAGTAATTTTTTTATTTATAAAGGAATACTTATCATATTATACACTGGTATAACACATCTCACACCTATTCCAAATATGCAATCAGATATTGAATATCTTTACTAGAACCCGAGTTATGGGAGATTGGCCTAATTTGATTAGGTCATTTGTTACGGGTCGTTAGAGAAAAAGTATTCGTAAATTATCAAAATTTTTAATGCAACTGTATTCACAAAGGTGTAATATGTGCGGTGATGCTATTTTAGATCTTAACTGAGAGGGTTATGTCACTAAAAAACGATCGCAATTATAGTGTAAAAGAGATGCTTTCTCATTATTTAAGAAAGTAATTAATTGGATAGAACTCTTAAGCTGGAAGGCTATAAAAATAGCATCACCGCACAGCTCCTTTCTTCGCGATTAAAAGGGCACCAAACGGGTTAATATTGTCCAAGACAAACTTCAGAAAACGCCTGTAAGGCATCGGTACTTGTGAAAAAAGTGTAAAGAGAAAAAAAAGCCCTTGAAGTATGTGTATTCCTACTGAATGTTCATAGAAAATTAAGACTTTATATTTTTCTTTCATACTTAAAAATTAGATAGAGCAATAATATTTTGCACAGAGCTGGGTGGGTATGTCTAAATTCCAGAAAAGCCATTTTCTCAAAAGTGAATTTTCTCCAACTTTTTACCATTTAAAGACCAGCCTCCCCCCTTAATCCGATTTGCTATCGATTTTAGGTAGGCTATCCCTTGGTATCTTACAATAATCTTTTCCCTTCTCACGCATTTTTTTTTTTAGGTTAGATGCTACTTTTAGAAGGGTCTTAGGCTTTTTTAGCTGGATCTACAACTATTACTGCTATTACTACTACTTCTACTACCATACCACTTTTCCTCTTCTTGAATTGTCTTTCTCTGATTGTTGAGTTAATTAGTCGCCAACCAATCTTTCGAACTTGGAGGGGACTTTAAAATTGTTCAAATAATCAAGCGGTCCGAAAAATCAATTTCAGCCAAAATATAAATTTTCCGTGCATATTCCTCTGCGTATTGGCCACTTTCCACTGGCTTGATGTCAATTTTAAGTTCTCGTGCAACTTCCGCTTTATATTGTTCACTTTTCACTTGTTTGTTAATCTGCGTGATCACTGTGCTGCACTTTGTTGGCGCCTTTGTTGGCACAAACAGCGAATTTGAAGTTGGCGCCATTTGGCACTATTTGGAGCCAATGTTTAGTCCACCAAGCTCGTTTTAATACTAAGCCTATCGACAAAAAAACTTTATGCTCAAAGACCATAAGAGCGGCAGATGGCCACTCTTTTTGCAGTTGCATTAGAAAAACACTGTCCACGAGAAGAACTGGAAGAGCCATAAGAATGGGCAGACGGTGGCCATGTCGGCTATAGCGGAACCGGAAAACCGGATTATAGTCTCAACCCAGCTTGTTTATTGTGTAGGACGTGGTATCGAGGCTACAGGGAAAACTCAAAACAACCAAAATAACAGTGATTAAGCTCGTAGCCACTGTTTTGTGACTGCAAACTGAGGAAATCTCGCAAATTAGGTCAGAAATATTGAACAATAAGCATTATGGTGTCCGGAATCTTGACCAGTGTTATTCATTAACTCTATGGGGTAAGTGGTGGTTCAGCGAAAACATCCGAATAATCAAGCATGTCCAAAAATCTGTCGGCAACTGTAATGTTTACCGTAAAATCCCGAGAGATAGCCCACCTAAAATCAAGAAAAAATCGGGTGAAAATATGTGGTGGGCCAACTTTCAGTGTACAATCAAGAAAAGTTGAAACCATTATATTTTTAGGTCATGCTTCCCTTCCAAGCTTGTTATCATGGCGAGGGGTAACGAAATAAAGATGACTGCTTCCCAGTCATCAATTATCGGGTATATCCCGCCGCAGCTAACTAGCCGCATTTACGCGCCAAGGCCATCATGGATCCCAGCACTACTATTACTAAAAGTGGGCTATCTTTCGGTGTTAAAAAAAATATATAAAATCAAGCAAAACATAGGGGTGGGCCACCTTTCGGGAGTGGGGCATCTCTCGGGATTTTACGGTATATATCTGTGTACATTCGTGTGTACATACAAAATGTATTTCCTATCAAGTAATTATGCACTTTTACTACCCTGCTGCGGTAATACCCGATGGGGGCTGCAGAATTAACTAAATAAAGAAATAAAATGATTGTTTATGAATGTAACTTCTAGCCCTTGCTAGTAAAGACACGGGAAGTCTTAAAACATAACGCACACCTTCTAATTATGTCTTTGCAGGAACTTTCAGTAATGAAGCTTGGAAAAAGGACTGAAAGAATGTGGGGAGGAAGACAAGGTGCTTTGTGCCATATGGCTTGTCTCAGTTCTTGTATTTTTTTCGGTCCTTTTTCTAAACTTTAAGATGAACTGACTGGCCCACTTGGCCACTTTATTGCCACTAGTATTTAATAGGCTGACTGAACATCAACACAAATGGCATGCTTGAACATAGATTATGCTTCTTGACAGTGTTGTGGGGCTAGGCATAGTTTTCTATTGTGACAACAAATTTTCATTCTATTGCTTCATTTGTGCACGAAATCTTTGAGTATCCACATACTGCATGGTACAAATGCATGTGTTAGCTTTAGCATAGATCTGTATCAATTTTCTAAATATTTTCTTTCCAGATTTAACATTGTCTCGGAGATAATGCAAGCCACTACAGCAAACAACCTGAAGAAAGCCAGGGGCATCAGTGAAGGTGGGCACTCATCTGTTCCGGTGGTGGTTTGCTTTCACGGCAGTGAAAGCAAACCATCATTTTGGCTGGACGAGTGTGACTTGTCATGGGCGATATTGGTGCAACCTTCCATGACAAGTACAGCTCTGGCCGGGTAGTTAAAGGGTTAAAAAATGTGGCAGTCTTCTTGTTTTTATTTGTTAGCAAACTTTTCCTATGTTTCTTAGTCTGCAAAAAAAAAAGTTTTTTCTTTATCGTTTTAGACAAGCAGTGTGAGCCCCAGAGCACGGCCAAAGGAGACCTCCTCAAGTCACGCAACCTGTCCAAGTACATCAAACAGGTAAGACCCAGCTGGCTGTGTAACCTATGGCAATGGTTGACAATAGTAGCAGAGCACTGTGCCCCTTATGGCTGGCTCAGATGTCTGCGTTCCGAGTATGACCGACTGCATTACGACCACGTATGAGGAGATGCTACTACGTGTTACCATGGCAACGTTCATCGTAACCTGTCATAACGGTCAGTCGTACCGAAAATGCTAATGTTTGAACCAACCTTTAGGTGCTTCAAAGCAGTGTTCTCCACGACCAACTTTGTGTATGCTAAAAGCCCTGAAAAAGATCAGTGTCTTTTTTGTTTCTTTTTTGTTACAAATATGAATTATGTGTCGCAGACCACTTGGTCTATGCCCAAATGTAGCACTAGTGGTCTATACCAGATTCAAAAGCTTAAGTGCTTGGCGTTATCTCATTTAAACATTATAAGCGATTTTCTGAAATTTTCAATGGAAATTTGGCAGCCAACGAAGCCCTCGAATATTTGGGGATGCATGGCGTCGGCTACCGAGGACAAGCCCCGTTTTCTCATTGAATACATTTCAGAAAATTGCCGTTAACCCTTGAATAAGGAAAGAGTTTGTTCTGATGCTTTGGATTCTTGTACTGACTGATAGCGCCACATTTGAGCAGAGACCGAGCATTCGACTTTGCATAGTTTGTTCCTGCAGGAAAAAAAAACTTAAATTTTTTTTTTTTTTGCGGAATGCTGTAGAACTTGGCATTTGAACCCCGTTGCATGCTCTCCCGTAACAGCTGACGTACGCCAAGGCGCTGTGCGAGAAACAGCTGCGCCTGGTGGGGGGCGTGGACTGGGCCCCAGCCACGGAAGAGCAGGAGAGCCTGCCTGGCCGCAAGGTGTTTGCCTTCTCCGTGCTCATGGAGTCTCCTGTCTGCAGGGACTACCTGGCACGCTTCCTCCAGGGCGAGGAGCTGGGGCGCTCTCTCCTCACGTGAGCATTTACCTCTTTGGTCCGGCCGCTCCGCTCCCTAACGGGGGGTTTTGGACTCTGACGTCGAGATCGGTGCCGCCCCGCAAATTCCTCGTTCTGGTAGTCATCGACGGGTTTGGAGCGGCAGGTACGCCTTTCAATTGTCCCACGTCGGGCGTAAGCTTTCTACTTTCGACGCTTTGATCAAACTGTTTCACTGTGGAGGATTACCAAGAAATGACACTGGAAGTAGGAAGACAATGTACACAAGTAAGCTCATGCTTGTGTACATCGTGCCGTCTTCCTAGTTCCAGTCTCGATTATTTTGCGATGCAGTGCAGTTCACTCAAAGTGCAAGAAACAACCAACTAGCCCGATTCTAAGTGTTCCCTACCTTTGATAACGCTTCGGCATCTCGTGAGTTCCGAACGCACGTGCGCAGGCAAAGCGTGGCAGACGGCAACTTGCGCGCACTGGAGGCTGGGCATTCGAAAGGGACACCCCGCATTTCTCACACTGTCGATGACCCCACTTGTAAATCGAGCTGCTGTTGGGCCGACGGAAGGAATCGAGACAAATTTGCACGTCGAGATTTGGTGTTCTTGCGTCCAGTCGGCGACGTTAGACCGGCTTGGACAAGAGGCAAGACGCACGACTTCGTGTGACTATCAGATAATCGCTGACAAGGCTTGCTGGATACGTAGGGAAGCTATTAATGAGCGTTTAACTTCCACACTTTGATAAAGGGTGATGATGATTATTACTGAAGCTCTGTGTGGTATTAGTAAAGACATTGCTGCCTTCGGAGCTCTTAATTGACTAAGTATGCTGAAGTAGTAAGCCTTATTTCAATTGCTGTGTAAGGACGCAACTGTAACTACAATACATACAAGGACTTTTCTCGGGGGGGGGGGGCAAGCGGGCGGGCGGGCGGGCGGGCGGGCGGGCGGGCGGGCGGGCGGGCGGGCGGGCGGGCGGGGGGGGGGGGGGGGGGGGGGGGGGCGGGCGGGGGGCGGGGGGGGGGGGGGCGGGGGCGGGGCGGGGCGGGCGGGGCGGGGGGAGGGGAGGGGAGGGGAGGAGGGGGAGGGGGAGGGGAATGAAATTTTGTTGGCATATAGGTGAAAACAAGAGAGTAAGTCTGTCCTATGGCAGCATTAGAGAACAATAACCGTGGAAACTTTGAACTCAATGGCAAACATCGATTGCTTCAGGTTTTGGCAAGATGTGGAGGAAATGTGGCTCTCAAACAAGGTGAGTCTCCTGCTTTTTTTTTTTATGTTCTTTTATAACCTCTATGTAGGGTCCCAATAAAGTAGCTAAAACTGTGATAAGCTGCTATAATGGTGCTACAAGCCCAACATGTGGTGGCAAAGTGAACTGATAAAATGAGTGAGTGCTAAAGATTCTGTTTGGTAAAACAGACTTGATCGTGCAGGGACGGCACTTTATAGTACTCAACTCCCAGATTTTTTTTTTTTTTTTGGGGGGGGGGGGAAGAGAAGAGGCATCGAATAGCTTTTTATTGCTTTTGTAGACAGATGTGGCTCACATGTCCATTGAGCATGACAATTAGTAGAGAAGAGGCTAGGAATCCAGTCACCAAGGATGAAGTCACTTTTCTATTTCTTTTTATAGGATGAGTGGCATCAGAGAGGCAATGAGATCTACCAGCGTTACATCAAGCGCCCTTGGCCAGGCGTTCGTCTCTCCAAGGGAGTCTTGCGTGGCATTGAGGCTTTCATCATGGCCAATAAGGTGACTGCTTCCAGTATTTTTCTCTTCCAGCAAACAACTGGTCTTTACTAGGGAGCCTTCATGCGTGGCTCCTTAATCTTAACTGGTGGAAGCTTTTTTTTTTACCAAATTAATAAATGTGGTAGAGATTGGCCAGAAACTGCATGGCACAGTGAATAAGTTTGCTTTGCGTCTTTTATTTCCAACTTTTGTAATGGCAGAGGGACACCAATGTGATGTTCAACATAGGTAGTTTTCTGGTTTGTTGTACCATATAGAATGAAAAAAAATGGGACACATTCATGCATACCACTTGTTTCATGATTGGAGACTTTTTTTGCAGAGGATATATGCGGGGCTATAGTAAATTACAGCTCGAGAAGATAGGGTGAGGGAAAGGAAGGTTGGGGAGGAAGAAGCAGACATAATGCTGGAGAGAAGAGGGGGAAACCTCCTCTCTTTGGTGTTCTGTCTGCTTCCACCTCCCCGGCCTTCCTTTCCCTTGCCCTACCTTCTTGAGTTGCAACATACTATAGTTTCATAAAAACTGTCCCCAGAAAGTGTAACAGAAGTGCAACAAATATAATGGAAGTGTAACACAGAACCCTAACATAAGTGCACCAGGTGGAACACAATTCCCTCGCTAAATTTAGCAGGAAAATGGGATTGCTGTATAAGGCCATATGACCATGTGACCAAAACACATGGTACAAAGAGCCAATTTAGCCAACGGTGTTCATGTGACATCATCAGCATGCCACTCTTCACATGGCATCATGACATGACACTGACTTCATGTAGAATGACATTACAGTGTCATCTGATGTCTCCATGTCATGTGACACCATGTGTGTCACGCTAACCCAGCACAACGCAAAACAATGTGTACATTCTTATATCCAAACTTTATCTTAATATTAATGTGCAGCTTTTTTTTCAAAATATATTTTGTTTTGTTTTATTAAGAAACATAAACCGGCCACGGTTTTGTCGTAGGGTCCAGAGGCGTTTCGTCAGGCCCAACAAGAGGTGTATCAGGCCATTGAAGAGCGCTACTACCACTCGTTCCTTGTGAGCGAGGCTTACCACAACATGATCCTGGAGACTCAGCGACTCAACCTCGACCTTGGCTCCTCCAGAGAAGGTGTGTCTCCTGTTTCCGCTCATCAACCTCATTAACGAAAAGGGGGGGGGTTCAGTTGTGAAATAGCAGATGTTTTAACACAGAATGTGTTGTTGCCAAGATTCCGTAAAAAACCCTCATGTTCCAGCATAAAATTTCAGTGTCGCATTTTACACAAGGTTTAAAGTTGCATGTAAACATATAAGCCCATAATGCTCATTTAAAACAAAAACATAAAAAGGAGACCCCAGTGGAAACAGTAAAACAGTGTACATTAATTTGATAAAGCCAGTCACAATTGTCCTCACCACCAGATTAGCGAATCACATGTTGTCACATAGCCAATCACACAGGTTTTCACCACCAGCATAGTCACATCTCCTCACTGTCACCATAGCCAATTATGTGTTGTTTGCAAAACCACTCTCATCTGTCATCACTGCCAGTGTATCCAATCACATGGTTTTTAGCATATCTACTTACTCGTGTCATCACTGCAGTGTATCTAATCAAGTGTTTTTAGCACAGCCAATCATAGCTGTCCTGACCACTGGTATAGTCAATCATATGTTGTTAGCATAGCCAATTAATCTGTTCTCACCACCAGCATAACCAATCACACATTAACACAGCCATTCATATGTCTTCACCACCAGCATAGCCAATTGCATCTCTTCCTGCCAATATTTCCAGAGGAAAGAGAGACGCCCCAGGCAGAAGAGCGTGCTCCACTGCCCTCTGGATTACCGCATCCCCCTACGGTAACAGAGTGCTGCAGCCTGGCGCAGGAGCGACTCTCGCGCTTGGAGGCCCGCATGGACGAGAAGCGGAGGGCGCTGCAGGCACTGCATGCCACTTTAGACTCGGACCCCAAGGTACGCTCGGATCATGGTGTAAGGCACTCATTGGGTGAGGACACTCAGCGCAGCGAACGCTGCAACGCGATCGACCAGATCAAGTTCAACTGAGGCGCGCCGAAGTAACCTATGCTGACTGCATCGCTGCCAGCTAGACGGTGCAAATAAGGCAAAATGAAACAAACAAGAGCAAGAAAAGTTCCCGATTGCCATGACACTTGGACGTGCGCTCTTTCCGCTCGACGCGTCTGCTCCGACCTCGACGGACGCTGGTTTGAACACTGTACCAGAGATCTCTCCGCTTGAATGCGCTAAAAAAGCTGTTCTTGCCGCTGTTGAGCCACAGAGCTAGGGTCAGTGATGAACCTGTGTCTAGGCAACATGCATAGCGTAAGTGCCAAGTTCTACGTTTTGCGCCACACCCACAAGACGACTTTAGAAACAAGCATGTTTCGTATAAAGAAGCATGAGAGACCCAGCCTGCAACAGACTTCCGCCAGCCGTTCGTAAAAGTCATCTGGTGGCGCCGTTTGCGACCAAGGCAAGGAGAGAACTTTATCTGGCATCTGTGGCACAAAACTATTGATACCTATACTATATATCTAGGGTTCCGTGCTCTTGGATAAATCCGATAACATCCTAAAAAGATGCGCCGGTAAAATGTTCTTCGATGCGGGTTTATCCGACAAACTTCAAAATTGTAAGTCACAATAAAAAAAAAGGGGGGGGGGGGGGGGGAGCAGTTTTCTGCAAATAACTAAGTTTGGTCAGAGTCCAGGCTCAGCTGTCATCAGGAGAGACCTTCCCAGATTCCTTCAAAATCTCGCAGTATTGACTAAAGAAGTTTCGCCGTTTATCCCGTCAGGGTTCGTTCAGGACAATGGTGCGTTGTAATTCTGGGTTACGACACAAACCACTGTTTTATTTATCAGATTGAACTTTTTACAGGAAAATTCTTGGAGGAAAGTAGGGTTGTGATTTGATAACCTTGAAAGCTATGAACTCTAAGGTTTCATAAGGGGACAGCTGAGGATTCCATCTCGCCACTCCACACCATGCAGCCTCAGAAAGAACTGGTAAAATAGGAGGAAAAGAAAACAAGCTTTCCAATGACTATGTCAAGTGTAATGTCCTCTCTCAAGTTTTGTTATGGGACAGTTAGTATTGTCACGAATCACAATTGATGAGGCGACGAAAACTGAAGCAAACTAAACGATTAATGTGGCGAACTTGTGCCAAAAACAAAATAGAAAGAAGGCTAGCATCGCAGGCGTCGATGGCGGCGAAGCAGCAGGATCAAACGCTGGGGCGAGACTGACTCCAGCTCGCCGCGCAGAGCACCTTTTGTGTCCGCGTGGGTTTCTGGAATATTCGGCGTAGAACTTTTGGCGTGTAGAGCATTCATAACTTGATCAGACGACAATGTTCTCGAGCTTAGAAGAACGCCAAGTTGAAATAATAAATAAAAGAACATTACACTCCCTGAAATTGAACCTGGTACCTCCGCGCGACAGCCAAGCGCAGTAACCATTCGGCCACATACGCGCTCGCTCAGCGACGCGCGTGGCAATATTATTAATTCATGGCAAGGGTGCCAATGTCATGTGGTACGCTTGCGTTTTTCTAAATCTAGGGCAGGGTTATAGTATATATTTTTATTTTCAATCTTGAAAATTTGGAAACATGGCAAAAATAAACTTCTTACTTTGGAGAATTTGGAATATAACAAACGTAAACTTCAATAAACTTGGAATATTCATAAAAAAAAAAAAATAGGCTAGAAAAACACCCTCCGAATTTCACGAGCAATAAACTCCGAAAGCGTGGAATCCTCTATATATCTTATACCCTGGCTCGATGTACACATAGAAAAGCATAAGCTTAATTTTCATCAGCTTCTCTTAACGAAACCATTTTGTGTCTTTTCTTGTGTAGATCATGAAAATAAGGTGGCATCTCCTCCTGTCAGTCATCACATTTCTATCTGTCTTTTCCACCCATGGCATCACCCGTTTTGAATTGCCTTTCCGGACTTATCGTCGACGTCACCGAGAGTGCCAAACTTAAATATGTGTTTTCTTTTAAGGCGGAAGCCTTACTTGTCTCGTTAAGTGAAAAAGCGGCAGCGTTGTGCCTCAGAAATAAAACAGAAAGAAAAGCACAGCAACGCAGGTACTTTGTCACGGAAGCCGTCGTCGCGCCGGCGGGGTTCGTCGCGCCGGCTTCAGTGATGAACGCCACTGCGCAACCGCGCCTGCGCAGTGGGGGAGCGTGATGTCATGCTAAAAGGGAAGACGTGGCGCGCTGCTTGTAGGAATGCTTCCGCATTCCTACGCGTAAGCAGTCTTAAGTGTCTCTGCCGACTTTTTGATGTGTTTACCTGCCCGATTCTTGTTTTTTAGTGTAATATTTAGACAATCTATTCTCTCCACTCTGTAATGCGTTTGGGCCCAGAGGGGAAATAACTTGCACTTGCTTGCATTGATGAAGGAAAGAACTTGAAATCAGCCATTGCTCTAGTTTGTTTTGGGGCACAAGCACATGAAAGTGTAACAGTGAAAAATCGCTTCCGTCTAGCATCTTTTCTAACTTCCACACTTGGCAGTGTGATGTCTGGCCCGTTGAAACGTAAAGGAACTTCTTTTCAGCAGCTTTTTCTTCTCGACTTCCTTTTTTTTCTTTAATGGGTCTGGTGCCCATTGTTTCAGCTCTCTAATACCAAACAAATTTTTTAAATTTTCATTGTTTCAGGTTTGGTGACGTCGACACTTAAAATTCCCTTCACAAGTTGTGCAGAAATGTCTAACTTCATGTCCACCGAATTGTTGAACTTGTTCGAGACTACAGTGGAATCTCATTAATTCAAACTTTCTTAATTCAAACTCTCGGATAATACAAACTAACATCCAGGTCCCGTCCTATGTGTTTCTATGAAGGAAACTCCCGGTAATGCAAACTTTGCAGTATTTAAACAAAGTTTTGGTCTTCTTTGGGTTCAAATTAACGAGATTCCACTGTATACACGTCAATATGCTTGGCACACTGCACAGTGCGATCTATGAAAACGCAACATTGATTTCGCATTTTTCTCAATGCACACTAATATAAAACACAGATTTTTTTTTCAGCCGAAGCTGGTGCTCCACATGAGCATGCTCGATTACAACCACAGTTTTGATGACAGAACCCTCTGGTGCACAATCCTGCCAACTCTGTTATGCACTGCGTAGGGCTTTCTAAAGTCCTGCCTGAAAGAAAAAAAAGAAGACTCAGATGCAGAAACACTTTGAGCGAATGAACAGCATCCTCTCTCGAACGCAGATGGTGCAAACCCTCGAAAAGGAGATGGAGTCAATGCGTGGGCAGTGCGATCGCCTGGCCGCTTACATAGAACGGCTTCAAGCCTGGATTCAGGGCTTGGGACTCTGGACGGCAAGCATACACAGCTCACAGGTGCACATCATTTACGGTATTTCTCTTCATACTTGAAGTTGACTTTGTGGGGGCGCTCGCGCGCTCGGGCGGAGTGGAGGCGCTGAAAGCACCGCGCCCCCCACTCTTGCCCAGCAGCCAGTCGCCGCTGGGGAGCCGACAGGTAATAAACACTTTTGTTGTTAAACTGGATTCCGGGTGTCATACCTCCCTACGGGCAGCAGCAAGGCCAAACCGCTGCAACTTTCATTTACTATTTTGGACTCTGGGTGACGAGACCTGGAAAATGCAAAGTTCATGGGGGCTATTGGTAAGAAAGTTTTGCTTACGGCGCTTTTCTCTACTCGTACTCTGAATAGAGCTGCATGCTCTACTTAGTTCCACTTGAAATCCTAGCGCAGTCAAGTTTTGCAGATGGACGCACACAGACTGAAACTGCAACGTCGATCGAGGCAAACTTTCTGCGTTTGGTTGAACTATAAGGCAGTGACACACCCGTAGAGAAATGATGTATGCAGTGATGTTGCGCTTTCGGCACAGTGATTGGATTTGTTGGTTCCTAGCTTCGGCGGCACTACAACGTATTTTGAAACAAAGTTATATTACAACTTTTCAGTACATCGGAACATACCACACTAAGTACTTGTAACTGGTCTTGTCTAAAAGGCCTCGGGATGTCAACAAATTTTTTTGTTAAGAGACTTGGCTTCTTTTGGGCCTTAAAGCAGCTTGGTAGTCTTTTAGCTCAATGTCAGGTGCCACTTTTAAAGCCACTTTTAAAAGCGCTTTTTTTTTTTTTTTTAACTGCATGTGGGTATTTTTGCATCATTTTATTAATATCTTCAATATGACAGTGTTCAGGGATCCTACTTTAGGTCATTACATAATTAAACACAAGAAAATAGAAAATTGCAAATAAAAAATTTTTGCTGGAAGTTTTTTTTTTTGCAACTTAGGAATTAATATTTTAGTGTGTTTGCGATGTGTTGCATTGACGTGTCCATTTCAGCTTGTGAAGGACAGTAACCTGAAGCTGGTGCCATACTTTGCCATCCTGGTGAGCGTTCCAGACAGCAGTCGCTCGGGCTGGGTGGTCACCAAGACCATTCCGGACTTCCACTGCCTTCAACAGCGTCTTCTTCCTGTAAGCCATGACCCTGGTAACAGGGACAAACATAGGCGAATAGAGGATTTTGGGTCCGAATCGAATTCAAAGCGAATAGTGATTTTGGCCGAATAATTTCGAATCAAATAGTTTGAATAGTACAAGCAACAAATACCACAAGATATGTTTAAACTATAGTTTTATATTTGCCCTTATTTCATATTAGAAGTACTCTAATTGTTAATTTCAAGTGTATTGAGTTTGGGAGCACGAAATCGTCAAAATGGTCGGAAGCTTGCGCCACTTGGCCGGAAATCCAAGCCAGAGTAAGTCAAACCCGTTTATATCGAACTCGCAAAAAAATGCCTACTAGTTAGATATGCGTAAAATTCAATATAAAAGTTTTAATGAATTTGACTTTCAAAAATCCACTTTCTGCTAAAATATTACACAATGAAGTAGCCTTGCATCTTCTGCTGCTTTTTCTTCATTGCATCCACGATAACAATATTTTTCTGTGCTATCGGCAAACTCCAAAATGCTGAGGTCTTCTATATTCGCGCATTAGCGCCAAACTATGCTGAGAGCACGGAGCACGTCCGAGCGGGAGCACCTTCTTTTGCAGAGCGCTGTTTTGCTCTGCAAGTTGGCTTTCCCCTACAACTAGGGTGACCACCTTGCTGCTAGTGAAATGCGGGACACGTGGTTCAGAGAAGGGGGGGGGGGGGGGGGGGGGGGGTTATTAAGACGCACACAACAAACCAAGGCTCTGTTAACACATTTATTATCCCATACTGTTTATACACTTGCTATTAGTAATCTAGCAATTAAGCTCAAATAACTTTCACTACCAGTGATAGATTATTTTGAATGCCAAAGATGGTATTAGATGTGGCGAAGTTGAAAACATAAAAATCGACTGTACCAGAACTCAATGCATCAAATAAAAATAAGAAACAGTAAATATTTTTCTGGTTATTGTTTCCTGTCCACGCTTACTTCTATCAACATAGTCCTACACAAACTTTTAACATTACATTCTTTTGCGACCGTTGCATGTCTGGCTGCCTTCACTAAAAAAAAAAAAAAGAAATCCACAGCACACCTTTCGCATTGGCACGGCAATTTGAAAATAATTACGAAAATAATTACAATATTTTATATTTAAACATTTGGCGAGAACTTTTCCCACCAAAGGCAGAGATATTTTCCCACCAAAGGCAGAGGCACAACGGCGCATGCGCGTCGGTCCTCTTGCAAGAACGACGGTCGCTTCCCGCAATGCTTGGATAGATCATAGAGCATGGCGTACCATTTCGATTCACGCAATTACTAGCGACCTCCGCACTTCCCCGTGCCCCATTTTTCGGCAGCACCGTGAGTTGCGGGTGAATTTTACGACAGTGTGAAATGCGGGACATTTTGTAGATTTGGGAGTTCCTCACGGGACGTGGGATACGAGCCTACAATGCGGGACAGTCCCGCGAGTCGTGGGACGGGTGGTCACCCTACCTACAACAGGTAAGGGGAAAACCAGCTAGCAAAAAATTTTTTTTTTTTTTTGGCAATTGCGTTAATTGCTTGGAAGAAAAATTAATATTTTCTTTTGCGGACGGAGCGGGGTGAAGGAGCACGGAGCACCCTCTCTTCGCTCCCTCCGCAAAAGCTATATTTTCTTTTCTTTCCTGCAATAAACGTGGCCGCCCGGAAAAAAAAAAAAAGCTAGTTTGCTCTGCAAGCTTGCTTTCCCCCAAAGCGAGCGGGCGCGTTGGGGGAAAGCCAGCTTGCAGAGCAAACTGGCTTTTTTTTTTTTGTTTTTCCGGGCGACCGCGTTGATTGCAGGAAAGAAAAGAAAATATAGCTTTTGCGGAGGGAGCGGAGAGAGGGTGCTCTTGGCGCTCTTGGCAGTTCGATCTATCAGTAGCGGCTGCTATTTTTGTTCGACGCAACCATAGTTTTTGCTATATATTATCACTGTAACATTACTGTGCACAACAATTGTTCGATATAAGGAATAATTCGATGTCAACGGGTTCAATACAGTCGGGTTTGACTGTATTTAGAAAGATTGAATAATCCTATATTGTCGAATGTTTAGATATTGTCTAATAATTCGATTTTGTTAAATACTTAAATTCGATTCGAAGCAAATGCCGAATAGAACAGAATTCGATTGGCTATTCGTAATAACCGAATATTCGCCCATCGCTAAACAGGGATGCTTCATTTCAGTGTGCCTAAATTTGAGAGTGTTTCCAACTGCTCGATCGAAGTCGCGAAGTGTTGAACGCCTACGAGTGTTTCCCCCTCACTCCGCCTATCTTCCTGCTATCCTCCCTACCGCACAACACTGCACGCATGCGCACATGCATCCAATGTGCGCAGGGCGTGTCTGCCATTTGGTTGCAAGTGCTCTCCATGGTTTGAGTTGCTCCCTTTCTCAAATCTAGGCTCTCTTCTTTTGTTGCAAACAGATGGAGCTTGCACAGTATGCACAGCTGATGTCCATTCAAATAGGCCTTACCTAATACAGTAATCTTCCGTTATAACAAAGTCAACGGGACTGCAAAGAAATTCTATATAAGTGGTAATTCGATAAAAGTGATAGAGCCAAAAAAAAAACTGCCAGCAGCCTTGAAGGTGGGCAGGAACACTGCAGAACACTCTGACCGTATTATTTTATCAAACAAAGATTGGTTATGAACATCTCGTGGCAGCATACCGAGTAAAAAAATAATTAAGTGGAGCAGTGATGTGATTGCTGCGCCAATTGCGCCAAACTGCGCCAAGGGGCCAACCCTGCTACATCCCGCTACATTTTGCCAAAATATGGGTATTCTGCGCCAAGCCTGCGCCAAAGGACCAAATTTGGTCGCCGTTCAAAAGTGAAACTAAACTGAATGCCGTAATTGAGCATGCGTGAGCTAGGTGGCGCAAGCGGCCGCCCGACACAAAGTACCCTGCATCAATGGTTCGTCCAATCTTTCATGTTTCTTCCCGCCGTCTCTCGTTTCGCACTCTCATCTCGCGCTCTCGTCTCGCGTATTTTAAAACTTTTTCAACGATAGACGCGGGCGTGTGCCGAACGCTCCGACGGTACCGCGCCAGGCACCAGGCCGTCATGCTGTGAAACGAAACCACGTTCGTTTGTTTTTTTTTGCGCTGCGCGAGAGTTACTTAGTGAGCTGAAGCACTCACTCCTGAAAGCAATGACCGTGGTCGCGCGATGTCGGGTGTTGTTGTCCCCACGTCGCTGCAGATATGGCGCTTTTTAAACTGAAATGTAAGGACTGCCGCATGTTCATCAACATTCCTGTTCTTGTTTAAATCATACACTACTACGAAAATCCCTTTTTATTTAACTCAAAGAGTGCTGTGTCGAAGTATTGATTACCTAGGTTTCCCTCAGTAGGCTTTTTTTCTTTTTTTTTTTTTTTGAGAGGGACCCCGGTACGTTAAAAATCTTCTGTGAAAGAAAGTTGGTGAAGAGTTGTGAGCTAAAGCAAAGAAGACCGTGTCTGCACGTGGAACCCGCGCTTGTTTGTCTCGAGTTCAGTCGTTGCACGATGTGCTGCAAGAACTTTTTGACTCTAGCTCGCAATCTCTTGCATCGATGCGCTCAGGTTCTTTTTTTCTGTGTTTAGCTTGTACCTTGCCCTGTCGGCCTGGCAGGCACGTGCCGCTGGACTGTTTGTTTTTTTTGCCGTAGGCTGGACAGTTACATCGTTACATTTCGCATACAATTTTGGGAACCAGTTGGCGACGGAGCGGAGTGGTATGGTTTCGGTTTCGATCGAACAGCCACTCCGCTTGTGGGACGAAGCACGTGTAACTGCAAGCCTGCCGAAGTTGCCCTCATGTGCATGCGAACATGATTGCACGACAGAGGCACCAGCCGGGACGTTTGCAATCTATGGTTTCACGTTTGCTTACTTTTGACGATAATCTGGCACGTCGGGGAACAGTAAAACGGTGGCAAGCAGATTTTTGGAATTGCTCGGGAACGCCTGCAGCAATGTACGCTTGTGGGATATCTCAATGTCTCCGTTGAGACATTGGAAGTGGACATTCATTACTGGCCGGAAATAAAGCGAGGCTTGCAGCAACCTTGCAGAAAGTTTCGCAAAGCAAAAAGAAAAGCACCCGCTTGTCGTAATGCACCTTGTCTTGTGTACAATATCGCATTGCACTGCGTGTTTCGTCAGTCGGAGACTGCTTCCGTTTATTATATTATATAACTAGTCAGGGCCTAAAGCTGTGATATTTACTACTAAGCTGATCATTGTAAAACAAATTATAATATGTGCAGTTTGGTTTTTATTTATTTATAGTGGGTGCAATTTAACTGAATCATTGCAAAATATGTCATCTCATTGGCATTTCAGTTACATGTTGAAAGGCTCCCAGATGGTCTAGCTTGACCATGATTTGTTTAATCCAGCGAACAATGTGCCCTTTGTTTGTCCAGCGCTTAAAACAATTATTTAATTTTTCTAAGAATATCTGCTCCAAAAGCCACTTTTGCTGCTCCAAAACACTGTTTTGGCTGCTCCAAAAGCCACTGTTGCTGCTCCAAAACACTGTCGTGGCTGCTCCAAAGGCCACTTTTGCTGCTACAAAACACTGTTTTGGCTGCTCCGAAAGACGCTCCAAAATGGTTTAGGCCAATCACATCACTGGTGGAGTTTGCCGATAATTTCATCCGCTCATCAGTTTCTCTTCGAACTGCTCCGGACATCGCAAGAACAGTGGCAATTAGGGTGTTCGCAGAACCCATGAGACCAGCTCGTGGAACCCCTGTGTTCCCCGGAACCCAGTTTGAGAACCCCTGATTGTAGACCATACACATTTATTTTCATATCTAAAATGTTTGCAATATTTCTTTAGTATTAATGTATTTATTTTTGCAGATAATATGTCCATTGTATCAGCATCTTCTCTGCCAAGCGAATCTTGCGCATTGTTCAGAGAAAGCACCCTCTCACCGGTGCGATTTTTTTCGTCTAGCCGCATCTTTTATCTATTCGGGGTTCAAAAAAGCCGAAGCGGGACAAAACACCGTCCCACAAACACACTTGCGAGACAGCGGGACCACGGACGGAAAAGCGGGGCCCACCTAAATCAGGACGTTTGGTCACTTTACTGTAGAGATTGTCGCAGCTGTGTCTGGGAATCGTTGCTCGGCTCAACAAGCATGCTTGCGAAAGAAAATCCGACGTGGACGAAGCAGTTGGCGATCTTTCATCTTCGGGTCGCGGGTACACTTTCTCCTTCATGAGAAACTTGCTGAAACTGTCCTATATGCCTTGCTTGTCCTGCAAAATGGTGGACATTGTTCAACAGCCGATGCCGGAATGCCGAATTCTTGGGTAATTTCAGACTTGGGCCGGCCACTTTTCTCAACCTCGCAGATCTAAGCGACTTTGGGTATACACTCTCAATCTCCCATATGACGCACGTGTGCATGTAGTACGCCGCAGGTGTGCGCGTCGGGGGCTCCCAAAGGGATGATCTCCTCCGGGCTCTATCGGTCCCTTGACCTAATTCCGACAAGAGTCGGGGCAGCATCGGCTGCGGGCGCCATGAGTAACAGTAGGGAGTTGTAGTAGATCGTTTTTCTCCTCCGCTACGGTATACCCGAAGAAAACGCCGTAGCTGTGCATGCGCGCCGCCAGCCTTCTCTGCATAGTTCAAGGTCCTGTGGCGGTTTACGGAGCGCTAACCGGGTGCTTAGCGAGCTGCGGGAACGGTCTACTACAATTCCCTATTGCAACAATGACGCTGCTCCCACTACTCTCTGTCTACGTCCCCGCGTCAGTGCATTGGCATTGGAAGCGGCACTGGGCCAGCTCTGCGTGCTCTGGCCTCCGTCACCCTATTTCTTCGTTTACCCAGTCTGGTGTTTGCCTCGGTGGAGAGGGGGGAGGGAACGCAAGGGTCCCGTGCGCCTTCGTGTAGGCTTGCCTGCTTTCGGCGCTGCGGCCTTCGTAATAAGCGTGGTCGGCCGCCGATACGCTTAGAATGATCCGGTTAAAAATGCTTGCATTTCGGTTGGGACCACGTTCAACTTCAATAAAAGTGACAATTCGAAAAAGTGATTGTGTTATAACGAGGGATTACGGTATATGTTTTGTATTGCTTTGCCTACATCTTTAAGTAAACTTCTTGGAGTGTGCCCAAACCTCATAATGCTGCATTATAGGAGCAATAATATGTAACTTGTATGGGCCTGTCTGTGAGGTTAGTATACCATACAATGTCAAGTTGTCTCTTGCGATTGAGATGATGAGCATCTGGTTTGACGGCATAGTCTGTACTGGTCACTGTCGCTATACAATCAAACTCTTTGTTCTGGTGTTGCGACGACTGCCATTAACAGTCTTGTTGATGAGGGTAACATCCAGCCTTGCTCCCTTCGAAGTGACAGTGTGGAGCTTTTGCTAACACCAGTACCCTGTTTGCAGGTTTGTCCCGAACTGAAGCAGCAAGCACTGCCGTCTGCCAACAAGCCACGTTTCCGCAACTACAACCAGCCCTTCCTGGACAAGACACAGCCTATCCTACAGCGATTTCTCGATGTGAGCTCTTAGTCATGTCACTGGCACTGATGCTGTTATTGTTTCGTTAACAAGCAGACAAAAACACTTTTGCAAAACTTAAGTTAAACCTTAACCTATCCTAAGCTACATAAATTAATTTTATGTAGTACACCTAGCCTGACATGTTTTAGCCTAACCTAACTTCAGCCTGAAACATTGACTTCCATGAAGAGGAAAGCATTCTGTTTTGTTTCCTGTGAACAGCAGTCCACAAGCACCAAGACTTGCAAGAGTATCTGTCCGATTGTCAAATGCATCCGATAAGCGGCGAAGTATTGAGACAAAAATCAGTTTGTTTTGCTTGTGACGTTGTTTGAAGCCCTTCCAAGCTGTGGTCTTATTCCTTTGACATGACACTTTGAGAGGTACAGTAAAACCTCGTTATAACTGTCACGATCTTTCTGGAACGTGGACGAAGGGGGCCGAAGCACCCGCCGAGAAGAGACGACACGCAGCCTGGTTGAGGGTGGACGATGACTGACCGGAGCGGCGTGCGCTCAACGGCGTTTATTGATGTGGTGATCAATGTTGCCCGCCGAGCCAGGCGGCTGCAGACGGGCGGACTGGAGGGGGGCGCCACTAACTTGTCACACTCCTCCCCCCCAGTTTGTTTGTTAATAAACAAAACTAAACACAATGCGCACGGCCGACACCATCTTGGCGTCTGGCCACGCAAAGTCCCGGCCTGTCGACGATGAAGGTCACCCCGGCGAGTAGCGGTCAGGTGGCCTCCTCTGCCGTGCACTCCGCCTGGGCACTGGTGTCGACGGGCCAGGTGTGGCAACGCCGGGCGCTGCCTGAACTGGTCGCGCTCCACCGGGTGGAGCTACAGGGACCGGATCTGGTTGTGGCACCGCTGCAACTGGTGCCACAGGAGTGGCGACGCTTGTCGCCTCCGGGGTGGGTGGCGCTCCGCTGGCCACGACTGGTGCTGTTGGGCCCCCTGCAGGCTGGTCCTCTGAAGCGACGACCGAGGGTGGAAGCCAGGTCCCGAGGCGAGGCCTGACATGGTCGGCGTGCCGGTGCCAGGTGGTCCCGTCGGGCATGCGGACGAGCAGCGATGAGGCACTCGCTGGTGAAACCACACGCCCGGCACACCAGGGTGGGCCAGGACGGAAGTTCCTGGCGTACACCGACGCTCCCGGCTCCGGCAAAGGCCCGGGACGGCACCCTCGGTCAGCAGCCAGCTTCTGCTTCAGCTGCTTCAGGAGCGCCGTGGACCGGAGGTCTGGATGCAAGACGTCCAGGGGGGTCTTGACCATCCGGCCCAGCAGAAGCTCGCAGGGGACACGGCCAGTGACCTCGTGAGGTGTGGTCTGGTATTGAAACAGTACCCGGGCCACCTGCGTTCGGAAATCCCCGGGCTGGCTCTTCTTGAGCTTGTCCTTGATGGTCTGGACCACTCGCTCGGCCACCATTTGAAGCGGGGTGGTACGGCGGAACCAGCATCCGGCGGATCCCATTTCTCTGCAGCCAGTCGAGGTACTCGGCGCTGGCGAAAGCGGGACCATTATCAGACACGATAATGTCCGGCAATCCCTGCGCCGCGAAGACCTGCCGCAGAGCCGCAATGGTCGCGCTTGCCGAGGGACTGGTGACTGGCAGTGCCTCCACCCACTTGGAGAAGGCGTCCACTACCACCAGGAAGTAGTGGCCCTTGAAGGGTCCCGCATAGTCCACGTGCAAGCGGGACCACGGCCTCTGTGGGAACGGCCAGGGGGTGATCTCCACGTGGCGCGAGGCTCGCTGGTTCTCCTGGCAGACCTGGCAGCCTTGCACCTGGTGCACGATGTCCTGGTCCAAGCCAGGCCACCAAACGTGCGACCGTGCCACCATCTTGGTCTTTTCGATGCCAGGATGCCCCGCGTGCAGCAGCTGCAGCACCTTGGCCCGCAGACTTTGTGGAATCACCACCCTGGAACCCCACAGGAGGCAGCCTTGCTCCAAGCTCAGCTCGGCGGTCTTGTGGCTGAACGCCTGGTGACGCAGCTCCTCCCCTCGGGAAACCGCCTTGACCACCTGGGACAGGACCGGGTCCCGACTGGTCGCCTGCGCCACCGCAGTCCTGGTGAGCACCCCCGGGTAGGCCCGCTCCAGCAGGAACACATCAGCTGGCTCTGGAACGGCAGCAGGCACCTCCGGCAGGGGCAGGCGGCTCAGGGCGTCAGCAGGTCCCAGGTCCTTCCCAGGGCGGTAGACCAGCTTGTACCTGTAGGCTGCCAGCGTCAAGGCCCAGCGTACCACTCGAGGCGAGGCTTGCACTGGAACTGCCTTGTCAGGTCCCAGCAGCCCCAGCAGCGGCTTGTGGTCCGTGACTGCCTCGAACTGCCGGCCCCACAGGTACTGGTGGAAGCGCTGGACCCCGAAGATGAGGGCCAAGCCTTCCTTGTCGAGCTGGCTGTAGCGTTGCTCCGCCGCATGAAGCCGACGAGAAGCAAACGCCACAGGGTGTTCCTGACCATCCTGACCCCGGTGCGACAGGACGGCTCCTACCCCGTACGGCGACGCATCCACGGTGAGGACCACAGGCTTGGCCGGATCGAAGTGCACAAGCACTGGAGCCTTAACGACCAGCTCCTTGCTGCGCTGGAAGGCCAAGTCCTGCTCCTTCTTCCAGGCCCACTGCTGCCCATCACGAAGCAGGCGATGCAGCGGCTCTAGATGCGTCGACAGGTTGGGCAGGAACCTCCTGTAGAAGTTGATGAGGCCGAGGTAGCTCTGAAGCTCCTTCTTGCTCTTGGGCTTCGGCGCCTTGAGCACGGCCTCAATCTTGCGGGGTGCCGGGGCCAGGCCAGCCTGGGAGATGATGTGTCCCAGGTACTCCACGCTGGGGGTCAGGAACACGCACTTGTCAAGCCTCAGCTTGAGACCGGCGTCCTGTAGTAGTGTCAGGACTTTGCGCAGGTTCTGCAGGTGGTCCCCGTCGTCGGTACCGGTAACCAGGATGTCGTCCAAGTACACCGCCACGTGCCTCATGCCCCTGAAGAGGTTGTCCATCTCTCTCTGGAAGATGGCTGGGGCTGAGGCCACGCCGAACGGTAGGCGTGTGTACTGGAAGAGTCCCATGGTAGTCGAAATGGTGACATACTTCCGGGCGGCATCCTGGAGCACCAGCTGCTGGTAGGCATCTCGGAGGTCGAGCTTGGTGAACTTCTGTCCCCCGGACAGAGCCGACCAGAGATCTTCTACCCGAGGCAGCGGGTACTTCTCGACGGTAGCGACGGGGTTTATGGTGACCTTGAAGTCCCCGCAGATCCTGACGCGGCCGTCTCGCTTGAGGACTGGAACAATCGGTGCAGCCCACTCGGAAGTCTTGACGGGCACCAGGATACCCTCTCGCTGCAGCCGTTGCAGCTCCTGGGTGACCCCGTCCTTCAGGGCGAACGGCAGCGGGCGCGGCTTGAAAAACCGAGGCCGGGTTCCCTCGGGTATGTGGATGCCGACCGTCGTGCCGGCGAAGGTGCCCACCCCCGGCTGGAACAGGGACTGGAAGTCGGTCAGGAGGCTCGGGACGTCTTGCACCACGTGCAGCGCAGCTTCTTGGTACTCCGGCAGCCGAACACCCAGCGAGTGAATCCAGTTTCGGCCCAGCAGCGTCGGCGACGACCCCTTGGTTAAGTAAAGGGGAAGGATTGCCTCCCTGTCGCCAAGGCGAACGCTGACTTGGGCCCGACCCTGGACCTGGGAAAGCTGCCCGGAGTAGCTGCGCAGCATGACGTCAGACGCCTCGATGGACACGCCGGGGAAGGTCCGCTTGAACAGCTTCCCGGGCATGACCGACACGCTGGCCCCCGTGTCCAGCTCCATGGTGATGGGGTGGCCGCAGATCTCAACAGACACCAAGTAAGGTGGCACAGACGAAAGTTTATTCAAATGCCACACGTCGAAGATCTGCGGCTCGTCGGCCACGACGTGGACCCTAGCTGACGACGAACCCGGGCCTGGTGCCGCTCGTCCCCGCCGCGTTTTCTTGCGACGACCACCCTGGCCGCGGGCTTGGCTGGAACCCGGGCTTGAACCAGGCTGCTGCTGCTGCTGGCCGCCGCTCGTCCTCCCCCCTCGGCAGACACGTGCGAGGTGCCCAGTTCTCCCGCACGTGAAGCATTGTGCTTGGACGAACTGGCACTGTGAGGGGGAGTGGGCAGCACCGCAGCGGCTGCAGGCACCGTTCCTTGTCGCCATCTTGTTCACCGCCGCTTCCGTCGACGGTGAGCCGGCCGCACGCGCTATCTCGCTGGCGTCTTTCGCTGCTGCTTCCATCGCCAGCGCTGCCTTCACCGCGTCGTCCAGCGAGGGGTCGGGGAGCTCCAGGAGTCGCGTCTGCATGGCAGGGTTGTTGATGCCGCAGACGAACCGGTCCCGGAGTAGCGAGTCCAACTGGTCGCCGAAGGCGCAGGTGCTCGCTAACCCTCGTAGCGCAGCGACGAACTGCCCGAGGGTCTCCCCGTCCTGGCGGCTCCGGTTGTTGAAGCGGAACCGCTCCATAAGCGTGGACGGCGCCGGGCTGAAGTGCGAGCGCAGCGTGGCGAGCAGCTCACCCAGCGTTTTGACGTGCGGCGTGGCCGGCTTGAGGAGGTCGAGAAGGAGGCTGAAGACTCGGGTCCCGCAGCTGGCCAGGAAGATGTCCCGTTGTTTCTCCTCCGGCGTGTCGTTCGCCCGGAAGAACACGTGGACTTGTTCTTCGTAGACCGGCCAGGCGGACCCATCTCCCTCGAATGGCTCGAGCCTCCCGTACAGCGGCATGGCGACAGGAGCGGGGTGCGGTGTTCCGACTCTCTCGGCGGCGGGGGCCGAACCGTGCACGTTGGTGGCCTCCAGTGCCACGGTTCCTCGTCGCCAGTGTCACGAACTTTCTGGAACATGGACGAAGGGGGCCGAAGCACCCGCCGAGAAGAGACGACACGCAGCCTGGTTGAGGGTGGACGATGACTGACCGGAGCGGCGTGCGCTCAACGGCGTTTATTGATGTGGTGATCAATGTTGCCCGCCGAGCCAGGCGGCTGCAGACGGGCGGACTGGAGGGGGGCGCCACTAACTTGTCACAATAACAAAACGGGATATAACAAACTAATGGATATAACAAAGCAATCATAATTCCCCTTGCTTGCTAATAGTGGGAAGAAATGGACATTGGCTATAACAAACTAATGGTTATAACGAAATAATTACGACCACTCCTTCAACTTTGTTATAACAAGGTTTTACTGTACAATCATCTCAAAATTTTCTTGCACTAATTTGTCTGTCCAAAGTGAAGTCTCCGTCCATTTTGAGACAACACTATGGCAACTCTTAGCCGTCATTTCTTCAGACAATGCCAAGAAACTGGCTTACTTTAGATCTCAAGGGAAAGCTTTGGACAGAATTGAAAAAAAAGTAATGTGCATCGAATTGCAAAATAAAGCGCAGATTTCTCATTCCAGTACATTATTATCTTGCTTATGTAATTGACCAAGGTAGCTTCTTTCTTTTTTTGTGATTTCCATTAAAAGAGTGCTATCAAAGAAGTTAGGGAAAGTAATATGCAGAGCCAGGGATTGCATTCTGTGCTTGACTTTACTTGTGTTGTCAGGCTGACCTTTTTCGCTATTAATCGGAGATCATAGTAGTTGTTGCAACGTGCGAGGCCGCTTATACTGACGTTTGTGCTTCTGGGTGTTTCAGTTTGTGATGAAGGAGGAGCGACTGAACAAGAGCGATGCCCTCTACAGCTTCTTCAGCCAGGGGCCTGACCCACTGGAGCAGGACCTGCCTGCTGCAAAGAAGGGCTTTCCGTTTCCTCTGCTTCAGTTTTTCCGCAAGTAAAAATATCCCCGCAGCGACTCTGTAGCAAGAATGCTGCATGGTAGAAGGAACTGTTAGTGCTCTGAGGTTCCACAATCATCTGCCCACGAAACGTGCATGAAAGAAGTCACCTCTTTTTGGGTTTCACAAAAAGAAAAATTTGGAACTCTTTTAGGTACTTTTCTAAGTGTCGTATTTATTTTCCCGATTATTTTTCGACAAGATTCCACTTCATTTGGTTCTTCTGCTAGGAGAGAATCCTTTAGGGCCTTTTAACCAGGTAGTAGATTTCCTTACTAGCATTGGCCTTTTACACCAAGCTAGTTTTACCCAGTTTTACATTACACTATTATGAAGCCGTTCCCAAAGTATAGTATTGAGTGTTAATTTAGTTTGGTGCAGATGGCCTCGTAGCTATTGCGCTCCCCCGAAATCATTAAGGGGCTTTTCTGGCATGTCACAGGGTCATGCGTGGTACAAAACCTGAGCAACGTTCAAAATCTGGTAGAAAAACGGCAATTTTAGATAAAAAAAAAATTTTTCAAAACTGTATTTGTTGTATAGCTTTTATCGATCGGAAGCGTGTCCAATAAAAAGATGTTTCGTGCGTTTTATTGCACAAGTTTCTGTCATCTACATCAACACAAATTCAAATAACGTGAAAAAAAAAAAAAAAAAAATTCGGAACTTTTACATGTGCTGAGTATACAGTGCAAACCACTTATAACGATAATGAAAAAACCCGAAAATTCAATTGTTACAACCAATTATTGTTTATCTTTATCTGGACTAGAAGCTGATTGTTTCTAGCCTAGAAACTCTAGAAACGAATTGTTATAAATCATTGTATATGGTACAGTCTAAGCTCATTATAACAGACCTTGATTTTGACCAAGATTTTGGTCTGTTGTAAGAGGAGTATGTTGTATGCAGATATGAAGTTGTGTCAGTAGTACATAGAGGAAAACCAACCGAACTTCACAAATGGGTATGTTATATCGAAATGTCTGTTGTAACCAGGTCTGTTGTGATGAGCTTAGACTGTATTGTTACAAGGGATTGTTCTGTATTGCTTTTATTGGTTCGAAGCTTGTCCAACCAAAGAAATGGGTTTCATATGTCATTCAAATTTGTTGTTTACACTAGCACAGATTGAAACGGCATGCAGATAATAGAGGCAGTGCACATCAAACGAAACTTGAGGATTGGTGCCATAAAATAAATGCATTCTGGCCCCTTGTTTATTCTCAGATACAAGGCTATGGCCCTACATACTTTGTTATACAATATGTTTGAATTTGTATTTCCTGGGAGGTGAAAGCTCTGCGAGCTTGAGGCAAGGATAATTATAACCTGAGCTCAGTGCATGGAGGTAGATTTCGGATTAAAAATGCTTTGTACTTTTTTTGCAGCCTGTCGGGCCCAACACTTTTTGACAGTAATGAGGAAGATGACGACCTGTTCTTCAGCGACCGAGACCTGTGAGTTGCTTTGGGTTACCCTATGCACAAGATTTGATCTTTAGCCTATAATTAGCTTAATCCCCTACAAGATAACCCACCCATGAAAGCTTAGAGGCAAATTTAGAGGGAAGTGGGGGCTGCCTCCCTCTCCTAAGTTTGAGAGAATGATGTCACATCTGTCTGTGATGTTACATTTGTCCATGATGTGATTTCTGTCCATGATATGATTTCTCTCCATGATATGATTTCTGTCCATGATATGATTTCTGTCCATGATATGATTTCTATCCATGATATGATTTCTGTCCATGATGTGTTTTCTCTCCATATGATTTCTGTCCATGATATGATTTCTGTCCATGATATGATTTCTGTCCATGATATGATTTTTGTCCATGATATGATTTCTGTCCATGTTATGATTTATGTCCATGTTATGATATCTGTCTGTGACATATAATCTTTTTTGAGAATATGCCCCCCCCCCCTCCCTCAACCAAACAAGAGTGATTCCTTTGTCATAAAATAAATTCCCACTTTCCCCAAACAATACACAAACCATATCCAGAAATCTACCCCTAACCCAGCCTAATTTTATGTCCAGTTTGCTGCTACTGGAAACACATGCTTTTGGACTATTTCTATGACATCGTGAATAATCTGAACTTCGACAGTGATAGTGGATGCCATGTTGATAACTTGAAGCGTAAATGGATGAACATAAAATATTTCCTTGTCTTTCAAATACACTACAACATTTGTAGCATGGTTGAGGGCGGCTGACATACTTTTGCGATTTTATGATAGGTATCAGCTGCCATCTGTGAGCAGCATGGCTAGAGAAGGGCATTGAGAATGCTTGGGTCTTCATGTAGTAGAAGAGTGTCTCAGTCGACCGGCCTTCCGCAGGCGAGAAGACAAGAAGGATGACGTAGCAGTGCCCCTGTACGCACTGGCGGACGAGCTGTTTGAGCTCCAAGGAGTGTTCAACTGGCTGCGCCGAGCTCTCATTTCCTTTGTGCAGACATCCTACGGCAAGACCATCAACAGGCAAGGAATTAATCCTGTTTTTTTCTTTTTTACTGCGATAAGTATGCTGTTGTGTAATAGGCTGCTTTGTTCACACTCATACTGTGTTTGGGTCGGTATGCTGCCAGAGGTAGCCAGGAAGATGTTGAATTCGACAGCAGTTTGTGTACTACTATGTTGTCAAGCCTAGCACACTTTCCACAGTGCTGTCAAGGCTACTTGTGTGAGTGCAAGTGAGTGAGCCTTAAGGTGAAGCCACACCAAGCATAGTGTTATACCATATTTTTATTTTTAATTACCTATTTAGTTTAATTTTATGAAAGGAGTGCGCAAGCGACAATGTAGTATGGGCGCAATTTTCTCGCAGGGAATTTCGCAGAACATTTTGGGGATGTCTTGAAGTTTTTTTTATTTTTGTAGCACATGCAAGCACGTTCTAGCTTTCTTTAAACATGAGGGACAGGTTTTGAGGTTGGGGTAATAAGGAAAGGACTGTAAAATAACTGTCCCCTGTCTGCTCCCACCGTGAGGCACTGCAGACTTAAAATATAAATGAATTGGATCCTTGGATCAAAAGTGAATTTCATATAAAAAGCCAATTGCAAATTAAAGGGATACTACAACGAAATTTCGGCGCTCATTTTTTGGTCTATATGTGTTCAAAAAAGCAGCATCACATCGAACATACCAATATCTTGTTAAAAAAGTCACGAAAAGGAATTTTAAAACGAATTAAACGATTAGCAAAGAGCACCTGGTGGATGTCGCTAACGCCTCGTTTGTAATGCCCGTCTAGGAACCTTGACAGCTAGTGACGGAGGTTGTCTCGTCTCTGGCCACGACGAGAGAAGAGGGGCAGGAGGAACTCCCCTCTTCCCAAGAATGTCTTTTGTGTGACGCAGAAGTCGCTATTGTCCCCCTACAAGATTACAGAACATTAACCCGTCACTCAAAATTCGTACAAAAGCAGCCGCTTCGGTGGCTGGAACGACTAGGCCATCCTCTCGACGTCAGCCTCGCCGCAGCTTTGCTTGTCCTGAGACGACCTACGTCACGATTGCGTTGGATGTCACGTGGTCTCCGCTGGGCCTTCTCCGAGCGCTTGCCAGAGTGGGCCGTTTATAACGAAAAATACAGCCACCAGGCTCAAAATACAAACGTGCGATTGTCATTTACGGATATTGTGGATCATATTCAACCTATTTTTGAACACGACGGAAATATTTCGAATTTTGCTGAAGTATCCCTTTAAACTATGGAAAAAATAAAACTGGGCCTCGCCAAAAGGACCCAGGAAGGATCGACGGGGAGAAAGGGCCCCGCAGAGCCCGACACCAGCCGAACCCCGTGAAGGGGTACAAAAGGGCAACACAAGTGGGTCGACGACGGTCGAAGGCATCCATGCACCAGACACCCGCCGCCGTTGTGATATTAGCTTTTCCCCTCCTCCCAAGGAGGACGACTACGGACTACTGACCAAATCTGGCTTTGCCTTGTACAGTCTCCACCAACGTGAAAGACCCACTCGAAACGTGTGGCTGAGACAGTGTCTGGCAAAACACGTTGGAGACGGTTCCATACCGCTCCGAGGGGAGCAAAGCTTAATAATTTAGCCAAATGAATCGATGCGCAGTCTTAATCTTTTCCTCCCCTCAGAGCGACGGGGAATTTCCCAAAGCATGAAGAATGTGCCCCCCCCCCCCTCCCTCCCAAGTGGGTCTTTTACATTGGTGGACACTATATTTATGTTTGGTTTTCACACGACGCAGGCAACTTCGGGAGTGGGTGTCCTGGGCAGTGTCTGAGCCCGTGCAGCTCCATCTGTTGGAGCAGCTGCGAGACTCCCTCTGGCCGGGGGGCAAGCTGGCACCGGCGATGCAGCCCCGGTCGGAGCAGGAGCAGAGTGCAGCACGCAAGCAGGCCAAGCTCCTGCTCCTCGCCAACCTGCCTGGTAAGGCACAAGGGTCACTGTTGCGCTTCTAAGTTGCTACGTTCTGTAGCGTCCTTCCTGGACGAGAGTGGAGGTTGCTGATTCGTTGCAAGTGGCCATATGGGCCCAACAAACGAACCTACCTCGTAATGCACAAGAGTCACCGTTCCGCCTCTGGGGTGCTGTGTCTTGTAGTATCCTGTGCGAACAAGAGTGGAGTTTACTGATTTGTTGTTGCTCGTGGCCATACTGGCCCTAGCAAGGCCTGTAGGGCTGGGGTGAACATATATTTTCTAGTGTATTCCACTGTGCAACAACTGTGCAGATTATGCACTTTTTTTTTTTTTTTGAAGTATGGACATTAAAAATCTGAACCTAGAAAAAAAAAGTTTTTTTCTACCTGGTTAGGACAGGCATGTCTCAAATAAATGTTTGTCAAAAAAACAAATATTTTTGCCGCATATTTCTGCTAGAATGCAAATTTTTGGAATAGCAGGCGAAACCGAAATTGTATCCTTGTGGGATGATGATAGCGTTTGTACCCAACTAGTGTGCGCTCTGAGGTCCAGCGAACTCGATGTGCACACTAGTTGGGTACAAACGCTATCATCATTCCACAGGGGTACAATCTCGGTTTTGCCCACAAATCGAAGAATTCATATTGTAACATAAGTATATTGGACAAAAAAAACTTCTTTTTGGCGTACATTGATTAACCAGGTAGAAAAAAAATTGTTTTTTTTCCTAGGTTCAGTGTCCCTTTAATTGTGCAAGATGTATAGATGCTTTACACACGTGCCAAATTACAGCCGCCATTACTGACCTTCTCTTGTCTTACCGAGATGCAGAGCAACTGAAACGGTAGTTGACGATCCCCTACAAAGGTCATTGCTTTAGAAAAGGACACAGTTGCATCTAATGTGGCAGTAACCTGGCCTACTATGGTAATGATGAAGTGAAATAAACGAAATAAGAGGAAACAAAAACTGAAGGTCAGTTATGGCGGCGTCCATGCACAGCGGCTGCAAAGCGTCTATAGGCCATATCGGCATTTACAACAAAGGAGGAATGGCAGAGTGCCCACAGATGGCTTGCTCTACCGTGCATATATTGCGATCACAATGCACTTGTGCGAGCCCATCAGTGCAGTTTCGCCGTGCCGATCACACAAAAAAGTATGACTTCTATATCAACTTTTTCATGATAATAGCTCCTTTTAAGGGTGTGCGACTTGGACTGGAAAATATGGTATTTTATGTGACCAACCACCCATAAAGTTGGAGAATGCATACCATATGTTGCCATTCTAAACACACCCTGCTCATACAAATGAAGGTTGGGAAATCAGGAGTTTGTAGACAGTTGTAAGTATGCTTAAAATGTAAGTGTTGGCTGTTACTTGGGTGACCAGTGACTTGAGTCACTAGGCAGGTTCTTGGCACAGTCAAAGCACTTGTTCTGTGAGCCAGACTGCAACCAGGACATGTATGCCTATAGACCGACACGCGGGCTTGACGTCACGGAGCTGCGGTGGCGCTGCGATCGCGCCGGAGCGGGGTGGTGTGGGCAAGAGCGCGCACGTTTCGCATGGGCGTCATAGCATTTCTGCATGCCGCGAAGCTGTGTTGCCGTTAATTGCACCGAAATGTACAAGAAAAGCAGCGGAGGGAGTTTCCACAAGTTCCCGGCTGACTCTGAAAGGCGCAGAAGGTGGATAATATCCGTGGATCAAAAAAAAAATGGTTGGCTCGCGCGAACGACCGTTTGTGTGGCAGACACTTTCTTGAAGGCAAGTGCGGCTTCCATTTCAGTCTCCGTCCCGAGGCTTGCTATGTGCAGGGAAACCGTCGTTTGATCGAGACCACCCGGATTTTGTTCCCATTGTGTGCGCGCACAAAGCATCGGCCATGCGCTCGTCGGATGCTCGCTACGTCCGTGCTACCCAACAGAAGGGGATCAGCGACAGAACGGCAGTGTTGTAGGCGTTCCCGAAAAAAGTAATGAAATACGTCGCTCGTTAATTACAAATAAAAGGTACGCGTTACTGAGCTACGTTACCTAAAAATAAAAGGAACGTGTTACCGCTACCGATAAATAGTAACGCATGTTACTTCTGCGTTACTTTTTTTAAATTATGATTTAACATATTTTACGGTTTTGAGGATACAGGCCATATATCAAGAAACATTATGTTCATGCAGAAACTAAACATAATTACTTTATCTCTTTTTACAGTTTCACCTAAATACTCACGAGAAAAAACGCAAAGAAAAACATGGCTTGACGCCTAAAACACGGAAAAAATTGAAGCGTAATTTCTTTAAGACTTGGGGAGTAGTAACGAGTTACGTAGTTACTTGGAAATGTTAACGTAAGTGCGTTACCCGTTAATGTGTTGAAAAAGTAACGAGTAGGTTGCTACGTTACTGAAAAAAGTAACGCGTTACCGGCGACGCCGTTACTTGTAACGTATTACTGCCAAGACTGCAGAATGGACAGAACGTTTATGCTTGTCATGCCTTGTGGTCATGAGGGTAGGCAAAATATCATACCTTGACTTGAAGACGCTGTGTGTATTTAATCAAGTAATGAATACACTTCCGCAGACCCAGTCTGCTGATCCCGCCGGCAGTACGGAAACCGACTCGAAGTTATCGTAGGCCTCGAGAGACTTGTACGCCTGCACCGTGTCGGCTGTGAACTGGCTTGGCGAAAAAACTAAATAAACGACGACGTGAAATGTCGACTTCGGTGGCAGCAACTTTACGTCGGAACTCCTGCAGGCCTTGTTTACGGCGTGCGGATCCTCGTAGGAAACGCCGTCCGCGCACAGTTTGTTTCGATACCGCTGCTGTTTAAGCTCGGGCAGCGAGCTCAAATAGTCGGGCATAGCATACGACATACGTTGTCAGAAATTACGACGCACAAATAAAGATACAAGCGTCCCTACAACGTCAACAACGAGCGCACGCCATAGAACACAATGGCGAAAACACGGAGAGCAGGGCTGCTTTTGCCCACATAGCTACCGCGCATGCGCGGCTTTCCGGCCGTGTTGGTAAACAGAGTCGCTCCACGTGTCGGTCTATACAGTGAAATCTCTTTAATTCAAACTAACATGCAGGTTCCGTCCTATCCATTTCTAGGATGAAAGCTCCCGGTAATTCAAACTTCGCATTATTCAAACAAAGTTTTGGTCCCTCTCGGGCTTAAATTAATGAGATTCCACTGTAATGTTTGAAGTTCTGTGGACAACTGATGTAGGTGGTCAGAAGATGGAAATTATTTACAGCAGCGAACATGTGTTTACCGCCGTGAATTTTCATTTAAAATGTGTCGAAAAAGAGCCATACATCCACCATTGAAAAAAGCTTGTTATACTTCGTCTTACTTTAAGTGCAAGCGAGGCCGAAACTATGAGCGCGAGCATGTGACCCTGAACAGTGCTTGCCCTGCATGAGCGCACGTGCTTGGCAGGGCCGCTGAAAGCCCGGAGTTTGCTCTTGTAGCTTCTGCTACACTCACACTTAAAATCAAATGGAGTAATAGCTCAGACACTGGCAGGCAACAAGAGAGGGCTGCTCACAGATGACTCTTGACACTATTCTCGACGCTATTGAGTGACTTGACACCTTTGTGTTTGCATAAAATTGAGGGATTCACATTGAAGCGCTTATTTGCGTGCAGATATCCTGAATGTGGTGGGGCAGCAGAATGCACGGAAAGGTGCTGCAAAGGCCTTCGACATCCTGCAGAATGTTCGCCTTAACAAGCAGCTGTTCTATGTGAGTTGTCTCTCTTGGAGCTGAGCTGCTGTATAACATAGTCATTTTACATTGAACTGTATTGAACTGTGCCTAGACAACTGGCACCTTGCACTTCTTGGGCCTTCCTTAGAGTACAACCTGGTTTTCTGATGTTTATATGAAATTTTATTTTCACTAAACTAGTATGTTTTTTCTTGGCACAGGCCTGCAATTTATGGATGCCAGCTTTTCAGGTTGTCACATGGTTTAGTGTTTTAGACTAAGGACGGTACTAACGGGCCAGGGAAGCGAATAGGACAGGTAAAGCTCTTAAAAGATGGAAACAACAGATGACGCTAAAGGACTGACTGGCTATCAATATATGCATTAATTAAAAATCATAGTAAGAGTGTTTGGCTCCTTATGTCTGATTTTCCTCTTTGTATTGAGAATTAAGATACTTGGATGTGCATTTAAAATCGGCAGTTTTTAGTTTATTAAAACATACAGGCTTAAAAAAATAATTTTTTTTCCCTCTCTAACAACCAGATTTTATAAGAACTACTTGTGTGGCTTATTAACAGTAAAAGAGTTGGCAGAGCTATACTCTCACATATATGCCTTTAATAGTGTTGCACAGAAATAGGTTTAGTACAAATAATGTGTTTACTAGTGGCGTAGTATTTGCTTGATTTGGTCCTGATCTTGATGTTACATCTTTTTGCTTCTTCTCTTGTCTCTAGTTGCACTTCTCTGCTTGCAGATCAACACACTTGCTCTCCAGTCTGTTTTGCTCACAAGTGTTGAGCACAAGTGCTCAAGTCTTAAGGCTTTTCCTCTTGTCCCTACTCACAGGATCTTTTGGGGGCCTTCCTCTTGGAATTTGCTCCAGAACTCAGACCCCACTGAGAGGACACTGCAACCAAGAACCTCACGTCTCTAGTCTTCTCAAAAGTAGTCTAACTTGCACTTAACAGCACCACTTGCAAAGTGCATCATCCCTAATTGAAGCAGGGTGTCAAGTCTTACAAAAAAATGTATGTAAAGCCTTGTGGCTTCATGTGCTGGAGTAGCCATATCAAAGACTGGCAAATTTTGTAGTGGTGCAGTTAACGTGTGAAAACAACCGTACCTACAGGGTCACAATGACCTTACGTCGTTATGCAGGGTCTTAGCACAAGTCAAAAAACTTCCAAGGTTACCGCATTCCATGTACATTTTGGTGGGGTGTTGTTACCTTATCTTTTGTGCCAAGCATCAAGTCACTGGTTGTGCTCGTATGCGAGTTAAAAGTTTGATTGCGACACAGTCTTCTGCTCAACAGTGGCAATGTTTGTACAAAGTTTTTGAAGAAACTGTGTTGTGCAGTGGTGGCTTGCAGTGTCATGCATGATGCATGGGTGGTCTTTCATGAAGAGAGCAAAAAATAATTAATCTATTGATATGTCTCTTAAATTCTTAATGTATTAAAATTAAATTAATTTATTTTTGTGTGGATTACTAATTGTAAATTTGTAGATGCCAGTGAGGCCATTTCTATACCATTTGCATCAAGGGGCATTTCACCAAAATGAAGAATTTGAGCCAACATTCTGGTAACGTTTTGGTTCTTTTAGGTCTTTACTTTGTACTGTGCTTGCTGATTGTATTCCTTTTTTTTTTGTGACAGTTCTTCAATTTTTTTGTGTTTTGGTGTTTTCAAGCACCATGTTTTACTTGTGTTTAACAAGTGTGATGCAACCATCTTTTATGTATTCAGAAACCCCTACTGTAATGCTCTCTGAGCGATGTAGATACTGTATAAATAAATAAATACCGTAAACAACTTTTTTTTCGGGGGCTCAATATTTCGCGATACACCGTAGAATACCGTGCATTTGCCCATTCCACATTAAGCTCCCATTACCAAATTTGTAAAATCTGAGAAAATACGCACAGTACATTTATGCGTAAAATTGATGACCGGACAAGCGCCCATCCCCCATTTTTTTTCGATTATCTCCAAAGTTTGAGTGGGAGCTTGTCCGATATTTTACGGTAGGTCAAAGCTGAAGTTTTGAAATAATGCGCGGGTTATAATTTTCACGATGCGGCGAGATCTCAATATGGATTCCAATGTGCTTACATTTGACCGGAATTGTTTGCAGGACCTATCTTTGGCGAATTGTAGGCGATTTGCGAAAATTAAGTCGTTTACAGTAAATAAATAAAAGATGAACTAGCGTGGTCAGGTCTCAGTGTGCTTACAGTTAACAATAATAATCCCTGGAAAAGAGGAACAAGGGAGACAAAGGTCAAACACAAACTCCATACACAGCTAGGTGACAAGTGCGAGACCGAAAAAAAATCTGCCTGGTCCTGGTGTCTAACCAGGGACCTCTCCATTTTCAGTGGGGTGGAGTTAGTTGCAGCAGTTGTGCATGTTTTCAATATTTTTTTTAAATATTTTTTTACATGATTTTTAATAAAGTATTATCAGATTTGCTTTTCATATTGAGCACTGGCAGTAGCCGGAAGTTTGGAAACCCTTCTTAGTTTTCATGCTTTATTTTGGACATGTTGCTTGTCCCCAAAATTTTTATTGGTTTGGGTTTGCGACTTTCGGTTCAGCTCCGGTTCAGTTCTGGGGAACAAAAATAATGGTTTGAACTGGTTCAAGCCGATTTGAACCGCTAAATTAAGAATATATTTTCCGCATTGTTTTGGCAATAGGCACTATTTCAACTGTGAAATGTGAAACTTCATAGCTTTTTATCCTTTGTACAATCCACTTATATTTTCAGGTACCAAAAGTAGTAAATTGCAATGTTTGATTTCATGGAAACAGTAAAAAAAAAAAAAAAATTAACATACAAGACAATGTGTTTATAAGACATCATCTATTTGTTTACCTCAGTCGCATATCACTTACTTGAAAGGTTATAAGTCTGGTAGGTCACCTAAAATACCCGTGATTAGTACAACTGCGTCGCAATATTAAAAGTTGAATCCAACTTGTGCTCTTGAACTTGGGAATTAATTGCTGTGCATAAGATCATAAAATGGGCGCCTCCTCGCCATATATATCTTGAATCTAGTTTATAAAATATGTTTCACAATATATATGATGACGACGCAACTCAGCTGAAAGCAAAAATATTTTCAAAATGTCACAAAAATTTTATGACAAGCCCATGAAGTCTACTGTTTATAAAAACACTGGCAATCACAACGCTTTTTCTCATGACCAACATTGTTTACTCTCGGCACCATGATGCCGGCCAATAATCGTAAAGAAAAATGTGATCAAAATTGTTCTCTGATCTATACGCACCTTCGTACTTGGATTGAATCTGGCCTAAAATAGCGCGTACCCGAGTGAAAATTTTTGGCATAGCTTGGCATTTGAGGTTTGCTCCTGACAAAATGGTAGTCAATTCGATTGGCAAATAAGCATCATCCTTGCAAATTTTTGATTGTTTGTTAAATAGAACAAAGTAGTACCTCATACTCTACTCGACATTGCAGTTACTTAATTGGTCACTTTCTGGCGGTGGCGTGCACAATCGTCATAGTTCCTTCACAAGCCCCCGTCTTTGTTTTTGTCCTGCCCACAGACCTAAAATTGTTGATCATCATGTAAAAGAGGCAATAACAGACTTCTACATGTTTGAGGAGTTAAATATGTGTCAGGGAACGCATCATTATTGAAAGCATCTTCAAGCTCACAAATTTGTTTAAGGCTCTCACAAATCATGCTTAAAAGATTTGCAGAACACATTTCAGATAATTTGGGGGTGCATGTACTTACGATATATGTCTTTGACCCTTTGCCTACCGCGAAAACTAAAAAAAAAAAGATTTGAAAATACCGATTTTTTTTATGTGCCCTATACTCTGTTCCACCTTGTGTTGTACCGCAGGAAAGGCTACAAGCGCATGCTCCTTGTTCTAGGGCACATCTCGGCGGCACAAGCTCCCGTGCACCAAGGGCAGCTGCCAGCGCTATGAGCTCGCGCTTCTAGCCTTCGCTGCTGTACAACATAAGGTGAAACGGAGTATAGCCCAGTTCGTCTATGGTAGCGTGGACGAGCCCAGCTCGTCGTCGGGGGGGAGCGGTACAAACAGTGTGGACGAACCCAGGTCGTCCATGGTAGGGAAAGAGTTAAGTTGATTGGAACTTTATGTTCTCAAATCTTCAGCCAATAATTAAATATATTTTTATTATCATCAATCCATTTGACTGTATGAAGTTCACATAACTGCTTGAGACTGACACGGGAGGACGACACTCGAAAACACCAGCTGTCTGCGGAAACATGCTTTTTTGTTTGCTGATTGGCGGTCCGAGACACCGGGTCGCAGGGTATGCCAAGGAGGACTGTGAGCACACTCAATAGATCTAAAGGCAAATACACGAAATGCGCAGAGGTAACAAATGGTATGCTTCTAAATATAATCCCAATCACAACGCCTTACTGCACTCGACATCTTGATGTAGTGTGCAATCTGAACCTCCACCACAAAATTATCTGGAAGGTTTCAAAATAGCACACTGAACAATGCACATGAAATTTTGCTGCGGGATTGTTCTGAGGGAAACGCTAAGTATTTTTCATCCGCTCCAGAGGCTACAGATTGTTTTGCCGACTTTTGATCGATGCTACACAATAGGTCAGCCAATTATTCAGCCTATTGACATAGAAGTAAACTGCCAGGATCTTTTATTGGGTTTTAGAGCAGATATAGCTGAAATTGAATAAGATATCAGAAACCTTAAACCAAGTTACCTAATAATAACCTAGGTTTACCCCCCCCCTCCCCCGAATACGTGCCTGCAATTCGGTATATGACAATTTGATCGCTTCATAGAAATATAGCTGCCAATTTTTATTTCTCAAACATTCATTTTGTAATAAATAAAACAATTGCCGTGAACCGTTTTGAACCGGTTACTGTCGTATCTTTTCCGGTTCAGTTCCAAGATGGCAGCAAAGATTTCGGTTTGGCTAAAAATAACGGTTTGATTCCGGTTCGACACTCTGCCATATAGTGTCCCCCTCGCCGTGCACCGCAGAGAAGCAGGACTCGCGTTCCCGCACATCCCGCTTTGCCACAAAGAGCTACATGCTTGACGGAAAATCTCCCCTCCAGAACAGTGTGTTGCACATACAGGTATCGAAAAGAAGCAAAGAAATTTGCGACTTCTGATTAAACAATTGTACTTACCAGTAAAATTTTCAAAATTAAATCGCTGGTAGTACATGTGATGGACATCCTTTCAAGTGCACACCCATCTTGTGCATCAAGATAAAACTGCAACCGAGCTGCAAGACCCATATGTGTGAAGTCTTCTCACGGATGCAGTCCAGTACAGACTTAATATCACTTTCAAAGTAACTCGTCCTACTAATTAGCAGTTTTCAGCTCTGCTCCAGTTGTCTCACCTCCAACTTGAGCCTCCTACGCTCCCACCCTCACCAGTGTTTCGGCATCTCGAGTGCACACGCACAACCGAAGCAAGGTAAAAGGCATGGAGCACTTGCTGGAGGTGGGGTAGTTGAAATACATGCCCCACTATTTTCATCAGATATGTAGCCAGTGGGGGGGGGGGGGGGGGGGGGGGGGGGGGGGGGGCGGCGGCCCATGGGGCCCAGACTCCCTCAAAATCTTCCATTTTGCTGGGGCCACCTCTCCCCTTTCTCCCTCATACAACATTGTCATGGGCAGCCCCCCCCCCCCCCCAAAAGAAAGTCCTGGCTACGTCCCTGGTTCTCATTGTATCAGTGACCATATCTGACTGACATTCCCTTGTCAGCCTCTAAGGTATAAGTGTCTTTCCTTAGGATTCCGTGAAAAGAAAGTCAAGATATTGGTTGCAACTGCCATTTGCTGCCAGAAGTCGGATCACGCCAGTTGTTTTTTCGTCTGCACAATTTCAAGTAAACCAGATAATGTGCTCATCTTTTTACTTGATTTATAGCGAGGGACATTATTTTAGATTACATTAGTAATCTAAAATAGTTATATTGTGCGGGTAATATGTTAAACCGTACTAGAACTATGCAAAGAGCAGTTTGACTTTTTTTGTCTACACGTTGACAAAGCTGGCTCTTGAAGCACCCAAAGTATGACATTCTGCACTGAACATAAATGAACAGGTTTCCTTTATTGAAAAATTGTATATACATCTTAAATCTTACACATATATATTTTCTGCCCCCCTCTTCTGCTGGGCACCAGGCTTAATTTAGCAAGTTTGATTAAAGGAATGGGTGGGGGATAGCACGGCCAACAGGTTAAGAAAACTTGCTTTTCCCTGCCTCCGAGAAAACTGGATGCTAAGCATAAGATGGACATAGATGCAGTGTTCCCTTCTAAGGAGGAATCTGTACACGTGAACCGCTCGAGTGATCCAGGCAAACGCAAAAGAGACTCACACGTGCAGGTCAACAAACGCAAGAGGCTTGCATGTACAAGTCAACAACAGTCTAAAGTAAAAACAACCGGTTCTGCCACCATACTGTTACAACATTTGCTCGTGGTCTTAGTGCAAACACAACAAAAACAACAGTGACTGCTGGCGATGCTGAGATGCCTAGAGTGTCCATGGTTGCTCGACGACGGAGGTGCATCTCCGTCTTTCACGGATTATTGACGCTTCTTTGCCACCCGGGCCGTCTTGGCGACCTGTTGTCTCCTGTTACCGCCGGTGAAGAGCGACGTCATCATCTCCGAGAGTTCTGGCATGTCGTACTTCGGCATCTGCATCTGGTTCATTTCCTGCAGGTAGATCAGAGAGGAAAATTTCAAACGGTGCTTGAAACCAGCCCATGTTGACAGACATGAAG